TAGTTGGTGTGTTGCCTAACTGGCTTTTACCAACCTAATCGAGATGATGATGATGATGACACGCAAGAAGACTGGGCTACCTGTGGTCGCCTGTGGTCTCCTGGCCCGTTCCTCACTGTCGGGCATTTGATAGAACCAGCTAACACTGACAAATGGACCCGATCTGTTTTGTCTGATCCTTTAAGCAAAGTTTATCGCGAAAATGATATGACAGATTTGTTTTGAGATGCCGTGTGTGCATCCCAAAGGAACAAAGGATCATTATTTAAAAAGATCTACAAAAAAAAAAAAAAGAATAGAAATCGTTTTGTTACTAGAACATTTACTTAACTCAAAAAATGCTTTCAATAGCAACCCAATTTTGGAAGCTCTCGCTCAACAATAACTTTTTTTGCAGCAAAATTTTGTATGGTGAACAGATTGACTACGTGATTTGTCTTAAGTAGAGTATCTATTCCAGCCATTGTTTTTCCTATATTTAGTACAAACAAACACTGCTGAAAGGCTGTTTGATCAGCAAAAAAAAAAAAAGCCTGGAAGTTTTCTGAAACCCCCGCCGGGGGACTTCAATAATCCGGGGTGTTACTCCCTTAATCATATTTACCTTATAGGTGTGTGTTGCCCCAAAGGGTATGGTTTTTGCGCCGTTGTGGTCTGAAAACGGGTACAGCCTTTGCCTATTTTGGTCTGAACTTATGTATAGTTTTCGAGGTAATACTGGCGTGCACTTAAACGTATTTTTCGTTTCAATTCCAAATGAATAAGAAAGAAAGAGTATTATGCGCCGAGAATTCGAAATGGATTTTTAGAAATCTTATTGTCGGTGAATCTTATTAATGATAACATAATTTCTGTCTACGACAGGTCTGAAAAAGGGTATGGATTTTAGAGGCTAAGTCTGGAAAAGGGTGTGGAAAAAGACATTTTATGGTGTGAAATAGGGTCAGGATTTGGAGAACCGGGCAGCACACCCCCTCACTAATTCCTAGGAATACCCCCCACCCCCCGCCAGCTGGGTCATTATTTCACGCTCTAGGCAAGGTACCTTATCAGAAGCTATATGGTTACAAACAAAGAAAGGATAACATATTCTGTCCTTAAAACGACAGGTCTGTTGTTAGTTTGCATTGTGTAAGACCACCGGTGCCAGAAATTTTTATTGTTTTTTTTTTTTTCTTTTTTTTTTTTTCCACGAACATAAATTTCGTTCTTTAAACAACATCGCAAGCTATTTCTCTTTTTGCTTGGCTATTTTTGAATTTCGCTCAAGTCTTAACACTTTTTATCGACAGAACATGTTCGAAACATGTTGTTATGTAACGTTTTCAACGCACTAACGTGTGGCTGAAGAATTCGGTTGCCTTGTGTTGGTTGATATAGTGTTGCCTTTCCAGTTGAGAAGGAAAGTCCTGAGAAAAGGTGTTTAAAGCTTTAAAAAGTAAGCAAAGGGCTTAGCTTCCACAAAACAATGAAACATGTGACTCCCCCTAAACACAACATTTTTCAGTGGTTTTCACAAAGTAGTTTCATCAAATCAGTGTTAACTCAGTTTAGATGACATTGTCAGTTCAGGCGTGTACAGAATTTCCGAGATTAAAGTGTTCTCAGAAATTTGTCACTTTTGGGCCGGTTTTCGTGCGTTAACTGCTGTGAGTTGTTGTTTGTTGTTTTCTTTCTCGGTTGCTTTGTCTTTTTATATTGTTCCATGACACGTCATCACAGCAGTTGTTTACAGACCTTTGCATTCCTTTCTCTAAATGGTAGCCTGCGTAGCATGGCGGTCGCTAATCATTGTATTAAGACATTGATAATACTTAAATTTTAAAGTTATCTTAATTGCATTCAACATGCTGCGGTGGTCACTCCTTTTCAATGAGCGTTTTTTTTCACAGCTTTGTTTCAATTGTCATCAACTGCAGATTCGACAAGTACCCAAAATTGCTGACGTACTCAAGGTTTTTAACCCTATTGCTTTATCTGTCTTAGTCGTGAGGACATCAAAAGTTCTTTTGAGTTGAAAAATATATATATATATATATATATAGGTGGCGAAAGAGCTGCGCAACAGGGATCTCGAGCCATCACTTTCTGCATAGAGATCATACCTCATGATGTTGTCTGATCTATCTGCAGCGAAGATCTCAGGTGCCTGTGCGGAGAGTAAGACGTCTTCAGACATAGATAAGCGGAGTGGTGCGCCGGGAGAATAAAATGCTGGCTTGTTTAGTAACATGACCTGACAATAACACTTGATTTATGGTTCTCAGGAGTATTTTTTTCTGTGTGGAGAGAATTATTAATGTATATCAGGAGCCAGTAGTAGTCTCTGAAAATAAACGGAATGAAAGAGAATGTGTCTAATTGACACACTTTTAAAATAATGTATTAAAAGAGCGCTGACTATTAACTAATTAATAATATACATGAAAAAATTTCTCGATTGTCATTGGCTACGAAGAATGCAGTTTTTAGGTAACACAGTGCAGAAAAAAGGTAATTGAGTGCAGAAAAGAGTAACAAACGTGACATTCTGATTGGCTAATAAACAAAGGAACTCACTGAGAGCCAATCAAATGCGCCATCTAAATGGCGCAAAATTTGGATCCGCTCCGGCCGGACCAGTTTCGAGCAAAAACCGCAGTGGTTGGCGATTGCAGCACATTTGCTTTTGCGACCGAAAGAACTGTAGAGGAGCTGAAAAACTGCTTTAAAAACGAAAACACTGCGAAAAGCAATGGTTTTTAGCTCTCTTTTTGGAAGAATTGGTGCGTAGGTAAGGAAATTACTGATGAAATAAAAAATTATGAGCCGGCTGAGCTTAACACTTCGCCCGAGCATTTCTACGCCGAAGTAAACAATACAAAAAAGGTGAAGATTTATGAACCAGAAACGAAGCCTTAAAGTAATGAAGGCATCGCTTGATAGACACTTAAAGAACAAAGGCTGCACCCTGTCTATTGTACGTGACCGAGAATTTAGTTCGTCCGAAGAGGTGTTGGAGGAAAAAGCGAAACAGCTTCGCTTGGCTGGCCGTGGTAAGCGCCCAAACAAAGCTCGGCAAGTATCAGAGGAGGAAGAAGAAATTCTCTGGAAGAACGGAAAACTCGAGGTAATATATAACCCAGAATCTTTATTTCAAACACATTGAACAATTCCATGAACTGTTCAGCCCGTTTCTGCAGCTTGCAAACTTTAAAAACATCGAGCAAAATGTTGTTTTGACTGCACGTGTAATGATATTTGCAGCATTTGAATAATTTATTTTTGCACGTAGTTTACGCGGGTTGACTTCCTATTAAAGAGATTTTAAAGCTATCTCGCAATTTTTTCATGAATATTATTAATAAGTAATCACATAATTTTTCTCGTGCAATTTGGAATAAATAAGCACGAGTAAATTTTTTCAAAGACCACAAATTGCACTCGCCCTACGGGCTCGTGCAATTTTGTTAGCCTTTGAAAACATTTACTCGTGCTTATTTATTCCAAATTGCACTCGAAATCATGTGATTACCTATACAAAACCATTAACATACGGCTAACCAGACCCTATGCTTGTTGCCTTAAGGCCTTGCACGATTGATTCTGTATTGAAACTAGGAAACGGTGGCCCAGATCTTTTCACGCCAGTAGCCAGAAGTCTTTTGTTAGTTTCCTTGCCCGCGGTGTTTATAAATAAACAAAGAAAAAAGGAAACAAGATGACTCCGTGACATGCACAAAGACACAACTGTCCGACTCAACAAGTGATTTTTAAACATCCAAAGTATGCTTATAGTCCAATTATTCCACAGGTTATCATTGAAAATATATGTTCAATTGTAAACAGTAGACTGTCTCTCTTAAGAAAGATCAAACCGTTTCTCAATTATCACTGTGCTCTACGTTTCTTCAACTCTTGTATTCATAACCTCTTTATCTATTGTTCGAGTGCATGGGGTAATTGTTTCAATTATTTATTGTCTCGTCTTCTTTTCCTTCAAGAACGTCCAGCTAGATTGCTCCTTGATGCCGAATACTCTCAACCATCTGTAAGCTTATTTTCCAAATTCAAATGGCTGCCTATTTTCGACCTTATAAAACTTAGAAAATTTGTACTTTTATCTACTATTCTTAACAATCCTGATGCTCCTCTTTGTCTTCAGCGTAAATTCAATTTCTTGTTTTCCGTTCGTTCAACTGGTCTGCGCACCAGAGCTTGTGCTTTTAATCTTCAAGTTCCATACGCTCGGTCTAATTCTGGAAAGCGCACATTTGCTTACTCTGCTGCCACTCTTTTTAATTGCCTTGACACTGATCTTAAGCAAATAGCGTGTGTATTTCCTCCTTGTATTATATATTCATCTAGATTAAATAATTTAAGCATAAACTCTTTATCTTCTTTCTTAAGTTTGCTAGTAACGTTTCTCATCTTGAAGAATTAATGTGCTATGATTGTCGTTTTTCCCTTTATTGTAACTGTATTAGAAGGTAATTAGTTTATATCATCTTATATCTTGTTAAACCATACATTTGTCTAGTTCTGTTTTTTCGGTTGTTGTAGTCGTATATTACTGATTAGGCATTGTTTTTATATGTGTATTTTGTATTGTTGTGAAGGCCGTAAGTTAGATAACTCATTGGGTTATTACGTCACCTTCGTTAAATAAAGAATATTGTATTGTATTGTATTGTATCAATTTTTGTGATGACGTACAATTAGGCCAGTCATTTGTAACGAGCTAATCTGTCGGATAAGGCTTTTAAATTGTTTGCGTACTCAAGCCTGTAAAGCTGCCGGATCAGTGTTGCCAGCTAGCTATTGTAGCTACTATGCCTTTTTTGGCCAAGCTGCTTCAAAGCGTCCTGGTGGGCTTAACAGTCGTAAAATGCACAGTTCTCGTTGGCCTTCTGAGAATCGCCTCCTCACTTCCTTTCCTCAAGGAAAGGCTCCAAGAGTTCGAGGAAAAGCATAATCTAGTCCCTTACGAAAACTTCTGGGAAAATTACGGTGGGAAACAAATGCTTGCAGCTGTTTTAAAAATTTTTCTCGGGGATTTAAACAAGATCGCTGTACTCGGTTCGTCCGCCCCAAACTGCAAGTTAGTCACCACAGACGAAAAACCTTGTAAGCTACTGGATTTCGCACGAGGAACTCGGCCGCTGATTGTTAACTTTGGCAGTCGCAGTTGACCACCTTTCTTGATTAATTTCCTGAACAACTTCACCAACGTTGTTCGGGGATTTCAAGATGTGGCAGACTTTGTTATTGTGTACATCTGCGAAGCACATCCTACAGACGAATGGCGGTGGAATGTAAGTTTTTGTTTGTTGGTTTCTTCAGTTTATTACGTGGATACGTAAGAATTCTTTAACAGAGTTTCCGTAGCGGCCTTTTTCAAGGAGTAAAACAATGATAGAAATATTTGCATGAGATTGGAAAATAATTTCCCAAAAGGAAAGTTCGAAGTTCTTCTCATAGCTTCTCTATTTACGTTGTAATTTTATTCATAGGTGAAGGACTGGGATTTCACGACTTTTTTGTCAATAGACCTATTCGGCTAACTAAATGTTGTACCCAATTCAAACCCTTTCGGGATAAAACGTTTTGTTTCAGGAATTTCCATATCATTTAAATGTGAATGCAACATTATAATGCAAATACAGTACACAAAGAATCTTGACACTAGGAAATTGGAATTGGGTACAACATTGAGTTAGCCGAAAAGGTCTATTGACACTTAAAGTCGTGAAATTCCAGTCCTTCACCTATGAATAAAATTACACCGTAAATAGAGAAGCTATGAGAAGAACTATACCTTAAAATATACTTTAATTCTGGAGGATCTATGACCAACTATGGTCACTGCTAAGAAATGAATTAAAAGGGCAATTCTTTGGTGTTTTCGTTTCTCTTTAGCCCTTGGGGGTCGATGCGTCATCTTTGGAATCATATACGGCAATCTGTTTGTTCTGCGGTTTCTCTGATATTCATCCGCTCATCCAGGAACATGGTACCCTGCGAGCAGAGGCTACATTTTCGCGGTATGAGCTGGCGTGCGGAAGTGTATGCATTTAATTTCACGAAAAAATTATTTTAATACCATTAGAATTGAAATTACTTCTTAACGACAAAATGATCAATTACAAACAAAAGAGACAGATTAACTTTACTTCAATTAAAGAATCTCCGTACTGGCTGAACAACTTTCCGAAACACCATCCGTCTTATGAATCCGTCCTCAATATAAATTTTGTCAGTCCTATTTATTTGCTTTCTTTTTTAATTGTTTTGTTATTTATGTTTGGCTCAATTTCTTTGATTGCCTGTATTTTTCGATCAACTGACCCGCTGACGGCGGAATTGGCTAAATTGTGTGGCATTTGTGATACTGCTATCATTTTCATATATTTTCCTTTCTCGCCTTTTTTACAGAACAACGTTGAGATCTTGCAGCACAGAACTTTACAAGACCGTTGTCAGGCAGCTGAAATGTTGAAAAAATCCAGTGGATGCTCGACTCCAATCCTGGTTGATACTATGGATGACGAAGCTACTGAAGCGTATGGTGCCTACCCGGAGAGACTCTTCATTATACAAGATAGAAAAATCGTGTACGAGGGAGGAACAGGGCCGCATAACTATAAGTTAGGAGAGGTAAAAAAATGGCTAGAGGTGTATAAAGCTAGTCGATAGACCGGTGTGACACAAGCGTTGAAGAGTTAACAGTTGACTTCTGAACAGTGGACTGAATTACAAAACAAGTTTCTATGTATCCGTCAATTCTGAACCTTAATATTATAAGAATTTTTTTAACACTGACATCGACATTCACATGGAAGGAGTATTTAACTATATATGAAAACTAATTAACCGTGCAGAGATATTTACTTTCAATTTTCCCGAACCCGCAACGACATTTGGCCCTGTGAAGTAAACTGACAAATAAAATAAACAAAAGAAAGAGCGAGTGGCCAATTTCCGAAATTTGTTCAAAATATGTCTGACGTGATTATCTTCATGTTATAAACAGGATAAATATTGAAATGTTCGAACTATATCCCATAGGTAGACAAAAAAATCTTTATTTGAGGCAGTTTATGACCACAGACAATGCTCATTAAAACGCTCCGACTAGCCACTTCAATTTTATGACCCAGAGAAAGATTCATTCCAATCCACTTCTCTCTGCGGCTTATCATATAAAATGTCAGTTGCTCTTAATTCCTGGAAGCCTCCTTGGCCTTTAATGTGGTGATTTCTCCTGCACAAGTTCTCTTCACATATTTTTTTTGTCTGAAGAAGTTGGCATATCCTGAATGACGGTTTGAGAATAAAACCCACTCGCGGGACTCTCAAGCCCGAGAATGGACTGTCGACCGACTCGAGGGAGTGTGAACTGGATTTATGATGGTGACGTCATAAGAAGGCTAAAATTGTTTTCTTTTTAATTAATGATGATATTTACCAGAACAGAAGATCTGTCTAACTTAGGATCAACTGTAATTAAAATAGCACATATGTTATTGTTAGTTCCAAGCATACATCACGAATATCATGGACGCATTTAGTATCCAAATAAAATGATACCTGAGAGATTGTGCCGGTTTTATTTTTCGAATTACTTCTTCCTTTTACCAAAGAACAGTGTGTTATGTGTAAAGAAAAAGAGAAATGGAAAAGCAATGACAAGAATTGTGGCCATTTATTAAATGCTGGAAAAACTGCAGATGCTTTCTTCACTCGCCGCGGTTCAGCTGGAAAAAGGTATAGCCTGGTTTATGAAATGAAGATGTTCTTTTTTTTTTTCATTTCATACAATGAATGAGAAGGTAGAGATACGGGAACCTCGGCATACTCTGGCATAACACTATCAGAGGTAGGAGAGTTTTATTTCTTTTATTAAACAGACAGATGTATCGACAAAGGGCACTGTTATATTTCCTGTTGGCATTTTTGGAGACCTTTCTAGATAAATGGTAATATATCTATATATAGTCCACGGTTAAGAGAAAAATGTGGTTAACCCCTCTCTTCAAAGTGGATGGAATTCTTAGAGGCTTATAAGATACATTTTCTCATTAAAGAGGGCTTAAATCGCCAACTTTGAAGAGCTCAGTCCCCCGGGCGGGGGGGTACTCGCAGAAAAATTGGGTAGGGGTGTGCGGCCCGCTTCCCAAAACCCTTACCCTATTTATGACCAAAATCTGCGATTTTCCCTACCCTATTTATGACCTAACCAAAAATTTGATACCCTATTTATGACCTGACCCTTAAATCAATACCCTGTTTCAGACCTGCCTTATAATTATTTCCCTAGTTCAGACCAATGTTAAAGGCAATGTTTATCTGCTTTTATTAGGTTAGGGGGACATGATAAGGAAATAGCTTCTTCTAAAAAAGTGCATTCAAGACTACAGTGCAAAAATCGTTACCCTATTTATGACCAAAATGGCGGCAAAAAAGCCAAAATCGATACCCAATTTATGACCAAAACGGCTGAAAAACCCTACCCTTTGGGGCCGCACATACCTATATAGCCCATATTAGGGAGTACCCCCCCCGGGGCTCAGTCTTGGCTCCTAGCTATTGCCAAGATATAGTTGTTTATTAGTGAAATGTCGAAAGTAGGCTTTGATTAATTGTGTGATCGCATAAAAAAAAGGCAATGGCCTTCAAACTGTCGCCTTGCGATGTCCAGCTTTCAGAACGCTGTAAATTTTATCTTAGGGCACGGTTTTAGTTTCCTCAGGTTAAATAAGCGACACTCGGAGAGGCTCCTTTCAGAGATCCAACCTCTTACCCATTTAGTATACCATTGTTTGAGAGAAAAGGTACGAACCCCTTTCGCATGCCCTTAATTGACAAATGGTACCGGTCTCTTAGTTCACTGAACCAGGAAGCTTTGTAGCCCGTTTTTACGTTAGGAATGACTGATTTCCCTACTCTTTGATACTCCTTAACTAGTGAAATCCTATCCTTTCATATACACCGTAATTTTTAGGGAGTTATTATAACTCCAAAAATGGAGTAAAAATTTTAGGTACAGGATAACCCCTTTTTTGGGGTTATTTTAACTCCTAATTTAACTCCGAATTTGGGGTCATTTTTACTCCTGAAAAAGAGTTCTTTTTACTCCCAGTCTTGGAGTTAAAATTACTCCGAAATGGGGTTACTTGTACTCCTTACAGGGGTTGTTTTTACTCTTTTTGGAGTTAATTTAACTCTGAAAGTGGAGTAAAAATTTTAGGTACAGGATAACTCCTTTTTTGGGGTTATTTTAACTCCTCAATATCTGGGGTCACTTTTACTCCTGAAAAAGAGTTCTTTAAACTCCTTTTTGGAGTTAAAATAACTCCACGAAAAATAACTCCACTGTAAGGAGTTAAATTAGCCCCACTAGAGGAGTTATTATAACTCCCTGAAAATTACAGTGTAATTGAAGCCTGAAGAACGCACGGGGCGGAGCCTTTCCTCTTAGGCCATTATAGGGAGTACCTCACCTCGGGGGATTGATGGTTGCACAATTGAAGTTTTAACTGAAAAGGAGATATGATCTATCAAATGTTTTCAAGGAATATCCGGAGTCGGAGGCACAGAAATACTCAGCTAATGCTGATTATTTCTGTTCTACATACACTGTTGACGTGTCTATGAAAGCTTGAGATAGCTGTCCCGCCTGCAACCCTTGTTCGGCCGTCGCCGGTTCTTGCTGTTGTTGTCGTTGTAAAGTTTTTTTCATTACATTTATTATTATTATTATTATTAATTGAATTATTACTATTAATTAAATTATTGTCATTGACAGATGGTAAAAAACAGGTATTTGTACAGAATATTCCCTAACTTTTATAAATGGGATTATTTGGGACCAGTCACTATTTACGCAGACGCCTTGTCTATCTGAACACGTTTCAAATATCAACGCAGTCGGAATCAGTTTCAATGCTGTTGATCCACTTGGGCTTATTGCATACAAAGCATTTTCAGTCTCGTTTCATGGAGGCCGACGGCTTCACTGTAGCCTCCCACGCAGGCGTTTTCAGGGGAGCTTGTTTTCCCCATAATGCAAAACGAGCTCCCCTTAAAACGCCTGCGTGGGAGACTAGTTTCACTGATGCTCGAGGGAAGTTCATGGAAAATGGAACTTCAGTGGGCCATTCTACCTACCTTTTGACAATTCGTTTACTCGACGAGCATGGATACATTTGTCAAGATTGAGATTGGTCACTTTGAAAACTGAGAAGTTTCGAATTTCGAATAGAAGGGACCCTTGACTAGTTCAAAAATGTACAAACAAACCCCTTAATCCGTCTTAAATTTCTAAATGGATTTCCTCAGTGAGCACGTACATCGGGCAGGGGCACCCAGCGTCAATTTTCGGAAAATAATTGCTCGTAAGACGATTTGAGATCTAGAATTTTCGGAACATTTGTTGTAAAATTTCTTGCTTGCCTACCTCTGCCAGCCGGGATTTTCGAAAATCTAAAAAATGGTATAATTGCCCATTTTTAACGGATTCTTACCCTAAAAAGGAAATCCGAACAGCTGAACGATTTTTAGGGGATAAAAATATGCCTATATCTACCGTTTAAATACTAAAATACGTTTAACAATGCTATGTTTAAGCATAGTTTTGAACTATATTCTCGTTGGGAAGCGGATTAATGAATCATAGTTACAAAACGTGCAAGAATCATGAATCTTTGTACTTCGGCTCAGGAATCATGAATAACGAGACTCTGAGAAAAGCTCAACAAAATAGACGTAAGAATTAATTGCGTTCGATCCAGGGAATGGAAGATATGGGGTTTCCGACCGTCCGCGATGATTTTCAGATTTTTTCCTTGGGGAGCATACCCCGGAATGCATTCGGGGCTGACAGTCCGCTTGTTTCTCCAGTGATACTGGTGCTTAATGTTCAGTTACAAAAAACTCCACACGTGGACAAAACGAATGATGATACCGAGAAACAGTGGTCCAAAATCTACATAATTCTGGATGAAAAGAGAAGTTGGAACACGAAAGAAACTATGCAAAACGAGACTACGTAGCCACTGTGAAAATCGTTCAATGAATAGGTGATCAAATAAACTGCAAAATAGTCGAAGGAAAAATACGGACTGTTTTGCAGTCTAGTGATCAAAAGTCTTCGCGAATCATGTATCTGGAAGAAAATTCTTGTAGGAATCATGAATCATTGAAGTAAAAACGACAGGAATCATGAAAATCAAGATTCAAATGATTCCGCCTCTAACCCCCGAACGTACAATTTTGGCAAGCTTACATGAGACTAAGAGAAATTCGCTGTAATAAGAAGTTGCGTATAGTTCAATCTACGCAAGTCAGATCACGAGTAAGGTTATTGCGGCCAATTAAGCACTTCCTTAGAAGTGACCTAAAAATACTACCCTCCAACCGTACAACGTCTTTTTTCGCCTCACCTGCGGGAAAATAAAGGTCGAGGTAAAAGGAAGCCGTGAAGCCCGATCGCTTGATTCTCTACTTCGCGAAGTCTCTACTTCTAGGTCCTTTGATTAGCGTTAATTGAAAGAGAAACCTCTGCGAAGCGCACCTTAAGCGTCAGTTTGAAGGCGAACCTGTACGAAAAATTCGTCCAACCGGATAAATGGTTAACAGTCAAGAAAGGCCCGGGCAGAGACCCACCACATCGCTCTGATTCTTTTGAACTAAATGTAATCCTTTGATCGTAGTATTAACTTTAATGTTCTCGATGTTCCTCGTTTTAACTTACATTTTGACTTAAAAATTGGACTCACTAACCTAGCATTTTCTGGCCTAGGTACGAGACTGGACAACAAGCTAGCACTGAGTTTGACATATAACATACTTTATGTGAAAATTTGTCCGCAAGGAATCGAACACTTTTCATTTGCTTGTTAGGAAACCACCTCATTAAAGGCAAACTCACCGTCGGTCGACGTCGACAGTGAACGAAATTACTTGTGATCACGAGATTACCCGCTGGGTGTTGATCATACTTAGGGTCGATCACGCGATCATGACCCTTCATACAGTCTCTGCGGTCTTCTTCGCGAACCTCGTTTCCAAGGGGCTGAACAGGAAGAAGAAATACCCTGAGAACGAGGCTGATTCCTCGTTTCTTTTTCGACCATGCAGTGTGAGTGTGCTTCGAGCCTGGTGGATCTACCATAAAATTCAAGTGCCGTTTGAGTATGATAGTTGTTGGTCAAATATTCAGTAGTTGCACTGATAACAAGACCCGGAACTGCAGCTGCATTAGCAGTCATACTCAGGTAGTGCTGTAAGTAGTGTGATGGCGTGAAACTGGCCACTGATCTATCAGCAACATTCAGGATACCTCGCCTTGCATGAATGGCCGGCCACAACTTCAGCTTCAAATCTACAAGAGGATTTTTCTTGTAGAATAGAATATAGCAAGAAAAAAATAAACATGAATGGCGCTGGCATATTACACTGTTAGTTACTTGGAAAGATTGACACATAACTTTCATCTAATTTACCAGTAAAACTGGAGTCACTGAAAAATTTGAATTCCATACTTCGTCACAACAATGCAAAGAACAACCTATTAAAACTACCCGAGTGAGTCAAATAAAGACTTCCTTGAAGTCCACTGCATGAGATCGAGAGATGACAGTCACATATGGGAAGTTCACGCTTCACGAAAACCGTGCCAAAGGATCAAGTTAGAAGGATCTTGTACTCTTACGCAGTCATAGTCTTCACTGGAGGTTGGAAATTTGCTTCACCCAATCAGAAATAATTAATATGCCCTCTTTTTAAAAATCGTACTGTTTGAAGAAGATTTGTCAGGCTGCCGACCTCCTGAGCTCATGGTTTCCGTTATTGTTGAAAGTTTTCAAGTCTACTCAGCAAGACTAAGGTGGTTCTTCCTTGGTTTTACGTGGCCTTTGAGGAGGTTTTTACTTAGCAGATTAGCACCCACAGGAAAGCGAATTCAATCGCATGTTGAAATGGAATCCAACTTCGAACCAAAAACGCAAATCGTGGAAATTAAGTTTTAACGTTCGAATAATTTGAGTGCTGAGTCCTCAACAGGCCGTGATGCTCCTCGTTCTTTGCTCCTAAACCGCACGGAAACGCTTGCTACGCAGGCTTCTTGAGCTTCTGTTGAAGTTTTCCTTTTTCCCATGAACTGCTAGAGAATGGAATCAGCTCCCCCCGATATACCTCGCATTTTGTGCCTTGACAACTAGCTTAGTTAAATGTTTTTATTTTCATTCTACTTATTGTTGCATGTAATTTTTACTTTTAGATGTTGTAAGTAGTTGGTGTGTTGCCTAACTGGCTTTTACCAACCTAATCGAGATGATGATGATGATGACACGCAAGAAGACTGGGCTACCTGTGGTCGCCTGTGGTCTCCTGGCCCGTTCCTCACTGTCGGGCATTTGATAGAACCAGCTAACACTGACAAATGGACCCGATCTGTTTTGTCTGATCCTTTAAGCAAAGTTTATCGCGAAAATGATATGACAGATTTGTTTTGAGATGCCGTGTGTGCATCCCAAAGGAACAAAGGATCATTATTTAAAAAGATCTACAAAAAAAAAAAAAGAATAGAAATCGTTTTGTTACTAGAACATTTACTTAACTCAAAATGCTTTCAATAGCAACCCAATTTTGAAAGCTCTCGCTCAAGAATAACTTTTTTTGCAGCAAAATTTTGTATGGTGAACAGATTGACTACGTGATTTGTCTTAAGTAGAGTATCTATTCCAGCCATTGTTTTTCCTATATTTAGTACAAACAAACACTGCTGAAAGGCTGTTTGATCAGCAAAAAAAAAAAAAAGCCTGCAAGTTCTCTGAAACCCCCGCCGGGGGACTTCAGTCATCCGGGGTGTTACTCCCTTAATCATATTTACCTCATAGGTATGTGTTGCCCCAAAGGGTATGGTTTTTGCGCTGTTTTGGTCTGAAAACGGGTACAGCCTTTGCCTGTTTTGGTCTGAACTTGTGTATAGTTTTCGAGGGAATATTGGAGTGCACTTAAACGTATTTTTCGTTTCAATTCCAAATGAATAAGAAAGAAAGAGTATTATGCGCCGAGAATTCGAAATGGATTTTTAGAAATCTTATTGTCGGTGAAGCTAATCAATGATGACATAATTTCGGTCTACGACAGGTCTGAAAAAGGGTATGGATTTTAGAGGCTAGGTTTAAAAACGGGTGTGGAAAAAGACAGTTTTTGGTGTGAAATAGGGTCAGGATTGGTGCCGGGCGGCACACCTCACACTAATTCCTAGGAATACCCCCCTCTCCCGTCCGCTGGGTCATTGTTTCGCACTCCACCAAGCTACCTTATCAGAAGCTATATGGTTACAAACAAAGAGAGGATAACATATTCTGCCCTAAAACAACAGTGATCTGTTGTTAGTTTGCATTGTGTAAGACCACCGGTGCCAGAAATTTTTATTCTGTTTTGTTTTTTTTTCCACGAACATAAATTTCGTTCTTTAAACAACATCGCAAGCTATTTCTCTTTTTGCTTGGCTATTTTTGAATTTCGCTCAAGTCTTAACACTTTTTATCGACAGAACATGTTCGAAACATCTTGTTATGTAACGTTTTCAACGCGATAACGTGTGGCTGAAGAATTCGGTTGCCTTGTGTTGGTTGATATAGTGTTGCTTTTCCAGTTGAGGAGGAAAGTCCTGAGAAAAGGTGTTTAAAGCTTTAAAAAGTAAGCAAAGGGCTTAGCTTCCACAAAACAATGAAACATGTGACTCCCCCTATAAACCACAACATTTTTCAGTGGTTTTTATAGAGAAGTTTCATCAAATCAGGGTTAAGTCAGTTTAGATGACATTGTCAGTTCAGGCGTGTACAGAATTTCCGAGATTAAACTGTTCTCAGAAATTTGTCACTTTTGGGCCGGTTTTCGTGCGTTAACTGCTGTGAGTTGTTGTTTGTTGTTTTCTTTCTCGGTTGCTTTGTCTTTTTATATTGTTCCATGACACGTCATCACAGCAGTTGTTTACAGACCTTCGCATTCCTTTCTCTAAATGGTAATTTAAACATATATCTTAACAGCAGAAAATATCACCAGAACTCATTGCCCACTTCTGTATACTGGCAACTGCAGCTCAGGTTCGCTTATCATTATATCACTCAGTTTAGTCGTTTCCCGAAGACATTAATACTTGTTTTAAAGTTATCTTAATTGCATTCAACAGGCTGCGGTGACCGAAACCGCAAAACGTTAATAGCTATGCCTTCAATTACTTAACTATCAGTGGTCACTCCTTTTCGATTAGCGGTTTTTTTCACAGCTTTGTTTCAATTGTCATCAACTGCAGATTCGACAAGTACCCAAAATTCCTAACGTACTTCAAGGTGTTTGACCTTATTCCTTTATCTCTCTTATTCGTGAGGATATCAAAAGTTCTTGTGAGTTGAAAAATATGTTTATACATAAATGGCGGACGAGCTTCTCAACAGCTATCTCGAGCTATCACTTTCTTCAGAGAGATCATACCTCATGTTCTTATCTGGTCTATCTGAAGCGGAGATCTCAGGTGCCTGGGCGGAGAGTAAGACGTCTTCAGACATAGATAAACGCAGTTGTGCGCCGGGAGAATAAATGCTGGCTTGTTTAGTAACATGACCTGACAATAACACTTGATTTATAGTTCTCTAGTTCTCAGGAGTATTTTTTTTCTGTGTGGAGAGAATTATTAATGTATATCAGGAGCCAGTAGTAGTCTCTGAAAATAAACGGAATGAAAGAGAAAGTTTCTAATTGACACACTTTTAAAGAATGTATGGAGCGCTAACTGTTAACTAAAAAAACCATTAACATACGCCTATAACCAGACCCTGTGGTGGTTGCCTTAAAGCCTTGCATGATTGATTCTTCATTGAAACTAGGTAGAGGTGACCTAGATCTTTTCACGCCAGTAGCGATCAAGGAGTCTTTTGTTAGTTTCCTTGTTCGCGGTGTTTATAAATTTAAGGGCGTGTATAAACCTGAGAAAGAAAAAAGCAAACACGATGATTCCGTGACATGCACAAAGACACAACTGTCCGACTCAACAAGTGATTTTGAAATATCCAAAGTATGTTTATAGTCCAATTATTCCACAGGTTATCAATTTTTGTGATGACGTACAATTAGACCAGTCATTTGTAACGAGCTAATCTATCGGATAGTGCTTTTGTTTGCGTACTCAAGCCTGTAAAGCTGCCGGATCAGTTTTGCCAGCTAGCTATTGTGGCTACAATGCGTCTTTTGGCCGAGCTGCTTCAAAGCGTCCTGGTGGGCTTAACAGTCGTAAAATGCACAGTTCTCGTTGGCCTTCTGAGAATCGCCTCCTCACTTCCTTTCCTGAAGGAAAGACTCCAAGAGTTCGAGGAACAGCATCTTCTAGTCCCTTACCAAAACTTCTGGGACGATTACGGTGGGAAACAAATGCTTGCAGCTGTTTTAAAAATTTTTCTCGGGGATTTAAACAAGACCGCTGTACTCGGTTCGTCCGCCCCAAACTGCAAGTTAGTCACCACGGACGAAACATCTTGTAAGCTACTGGATTTCGCACGAGGAACTCGACCGCTGATTGTTAACTTTGGCAGTCGCAGTTGACCACCTTTCTTGATTAATTTCCTGAACAACTTCACCAACGTTGTTCAGGGATTTCAAGATGTGGCAGACTTTGTTATTGTCTACATCTGCGAAGCACATCCTACAGATGAATGGCGGTGGAATGTAAGTTTTTTTTGTTTGTTTGTTTCTTCAGTTTACATAAGAATTCTTTGAGGGAGTTTCCGTAGCGGCCTTTTTCAAGGAGTAAAACAGTTATGAAAATACTGTATTTGCTTGAGATTGGAAAATAATTTCCCAAAGGAAAGTCCTAGCTTACCGTGGCCGCGTGGCCGCTGCGAAAACATTCTATAATCTGTCCTTTGAATGGTGCTTATATTTAACACGTTATTTTACTTCAGTGGCCTTTAGTTTCCAAATCTGTTCTTAAGCATTAAAGACGTAATTTCAGGGAAAAAGAAAATCCTTAAATCTTAAGGATAAATATGGTTAACTGACACTTAAAAGTCGTGAAATTCCAGTCCCTCACCTATAAATAAAATTACAACGGAAATAGAAAAGCTACGAGAAGTACTAAGAACAGTGAATTATACCTTAAAATATACTTTAATTCTGGAGGATCCATGACCAACTATGGTCACTACTAAATGAATTAAAAGGGCAATTCTTTGGTGTTTTCGTTTCTCTTTAGCCCTTGGGGGTCAATGCGTCATCTTTGGGATCATATATTTAAAAGGCAATCTCTTTGTTGTGCCGTTTCTCTGATGTTCATCCGCTGATCAAGGAACATGTAGATTTTGCATGCAAAATTTGATAAAAAGATTTCTGTCACATTTATTTTCAAGAAGAAGTTCTTTTTAATACCATTAGAATTGAAATTACTTCTGAACGACAAAATGATCAATTACAAACAAAAGAGACAGATTAACTTCCTAAAAAATCTCCGTAGTTGCTGAACAACTTTCCGAAACACCATCCCTCTAGTGAATTTGTCAGTCCTATTTATTTGCTTTCTTTTCCAATTGTTATCTTATTTATGTTTCACTCAATTTCTTTGATTGCCTGTATTTTTCAATCAACTGACCAGCTGACGGCGGAATTGGCTAAATTGTGTGGCATTTGCGATATTGCTATCATTTTCATGTATTTTCCTTTCTCGCCTTTTTTACAGAACAACGTTGAGATCTTGCAGCACAGAACTTTACAAGAGCGTTGTCAGGCAGCTGAAATGTTGAAAAAGTCCAGTGGATGCTCGACTCCAATCCTGGTTGATACTATGGATAACGAAGCCACTGAAGCGTATGGTGCCTACCCGGAGAGACTCTTCATTATACAAGATAGAAAGATCGTGTACGAGGGAGGAACAGGGCCGTATAACTATAAGTTATGGGAGGTAAAAAAATGGCTAGAGGTGTATAAAGCTAGTCGATAGACCGGCGTGACACAGGCGATGAAGAGTTGTCACCTTGCCCTCTGAACAGTGTACTGTACAAAAGTTTCTATGTATCCGTCAGTTCTGAACCTTAATATTATAAGAATTTTTTAACACTGACATCGACATTCACATGGAAGGAGTATTTAACTATATATGAAAAGTAATGTACGTGCAGAGATATTTACTCTCAATTTTCCTGAATCTGCAACGACATTTTGCCCAATGAAGTAAACTGACAGATAAAACATTATAAACAAAAGAAAGAGCGAGCGGTCAATTTCCAAAATTCGTTCAAAATATGGCTGACGTGATTATCTTCATTTTTATAAACAGGATAAATATTCAAATGTTCGAGGTATATCCCATACGTAGACAGAAAAAAAATCTTTATTTGTGTCAATTTATGACCACAGACAATGCTCATTAAAACGCTCCGACTAAGCCACTTCAATCAGGGACACCCAACGATAATATAGTTCAATACCACTTAAACATAGCATTTTCATCTGTTCGGATTTCCCAGCTAAAAGTCTAGAGATCAAAAGTTACCTTTTTGAAAACTTCAGCCAGAAAAAAGGCTAAAAATCCGTTAACAATGGGCAATTATACCCCTTTTTAGATGTCCGAAAATCCCAGGAGAGGCAGGCAGGCAAGAAATTTTGCAACAAATGTTCCGAAAATTCTAAATCTCAAATCGTCTACCGAACAGGTATTTTCCGAAAATTGACGTTTGGTGCCCCTGTTCATGATTTTATGACCCAGAGAATCGAAAGATTTATTCCAATTCACTTCTGTCTGCGGCTTATCAAATGAAATGTCAGTTGCTCTTCCTGAAAGCCTCCTTGACCTTTAATGTGGTGATTTCTCCTGTACAAGTTCTCTTCACATATTTTTTCCTGTCTGAAGAAGTTGGCATAACCTGAATGACGGTTTGAGAATAAAACCCACTCGCGGGATTCCCAAGCCCGAGAATGGACTGTCGACCGACTTGAGGGAGTGTGAACTGGATTTACGATGGTGGAGTCACAAGAAGGCTAAAATTGTTTTCTTTTTAATTAATGATAATATTTACCAGAACTGAAGATCTGTCTAACTTAGGATCAATTGTAATTAAAATAGCACGTATGTTATTGTTAGTTCCAAGCATACATCACGAATATCATGGACGTATTTAGAATCCAAATAAAATGATACCTGAAAGATTGTGCCGGTTTTCGTTTGTCTAGTTTATCATTTTTCGAATTACTTCTTCGATTCCTTTTACCAAAGAACAGTGTATTATGTGTAAAGACAAAGAGATATGGAAAAGGATTGACGAGAATTGTGACCATTTATTAATTAATGCTGGAAAACTGAACTGCAGATGATTCTTCATTTGCCGCGGTTCAGCTGGAAAAAGGTATAGCCTAGTTTACGAAATGCAAATGTTTTTTCTTTCATTTCATGAATGAGAGGGTAAAGATACGGGAACCTCGGCATACTCTGGCACAACCCTTATCACTAAAGGAAGAGCGTTTCATTTCTTTTATTAAACAGACGGTTTTTGTATCGACAAAGAGCATTGTTATATTTCCTGTTGGCATTTTTGGAGACCTTTCTAGATAAATGGTAATATATCTATATATAGTCCACGGTTAAGAGAAAAATGTGGTTAACCCCTCTCTTCAAAGTGGATTGAATTCTTTGAGGCTTATTATTTAATAAATACATTTTCTAAGTAAAGAGGGCTTAAATCGTCAACTTTGAAGAGCTCAGTCTTGGCTCCTAGCTTTTGCCAAGATAGAGTTGTTTATTAGTGAAATGTCGAAAGTAGGCTTTGATTGTGTTATCACATAAAAAAAAGGCAATGGCCTTCAAACTCTCGCCTTTCGGTGTCTAACTTTCAGATCGCTGTAAAATTTTATCTTAGGGCACGGTTTTAATTTCCTCAGGTTAAACAAGCGACACTCGCAAGAGGCTCAATCCAGAGATCCAACCTCTTACCCATTCAGTATACCATTTTTTGAGAGCAAAGGTACGTACCCTTTCGTATGCCCTTAATTGACAAATGGTACCGGTCTCTTAGATCACTGAATCAGGAAGCTTTGTAGCCCTTTTTTACGGTCGAAATGACTGATTTCCCTACTCTTTGATACTCCTTAACTAGTGAAATCCTATCCTATCATATAATTGAAGCCTGAAGAACGTACGAGGCGGAGTCTTCCCCATAGGCCATTATAGGGAGTACCTCACCTCGGGAGATTGATGGTTGCACAATTTACGTTTTCACTGAAAAGGAGATATGATGTATGAAATGTTTCCAAGGAACAGCCGCGGCCGGAGGCACAGAAATACTCAGCTAATGCTGATTATTACTCTTCTACATACACTGTTGACATGTCTACGAAAGCTTGAAATAACTATCCCGCCTGCAACCCGTCGTCCGTCGCCGGTTCTTGCTGTTGTCGTTGTTTTAAAGTTTTTTTTTCATTACATTTATTATTATTATTATTATTATTATTATTATCATCATTATTATTAAATAATTGTTGTTAATTAAATTATTGTCAGTGACAGATGGTAATTTTAATTTTCCACAAACAGGTCTTTGTACAGAATATCCCCTAACCTTTTTAAATGGGATTATTTGGGAGCAGCCATTATTTACGTAGGCGACTTGTCTATCTGAGCACGTTCCAAATATCATCGCAGTCGGAATCAGTTTCAATGCTGTCATCCAGAGAATGAAGCTGTAACCTCAACTGTTGTGTTAACTGTTATTTTAAGTCTCAGTTCAAACAGATTAACGTCTAATCAATTGCGTTAATTGCATACAAAACATTTTTCTCGTTTCATGGAGGCTGACGGTTTCCGTGTCTCTCACTGATGCTTAACGCAAGTTCACGGAAAATGGAACTTCAGTAAGCCATTCTACCTACCTTTTCACAATTCGTTTACTCGACGAGCTTGGATACATTTGTCAAAATTGAGATTGGTCACGTGAAAACTGAGAAGTTTCGAGTTTCGAATTCCATACATGGTATAGAAGGGACTCTCGAATAGTTCAAAAATGTACAAGCACACCCCTAATGCGTCTTAATTTTCTAAATGGATTTCCTCAGTTAGCACGTACATCGGGGGTGGAAGCGGGATCATGAATCATGAATCGTTATTGTCAAAACTTGCAAGAAATCATGAATCTTTGTACTTCGGCTCAGGAATCATGAATAACGAGACTCTGAGAAAAACTCAACAAAATACAGGTGAAAATAGACGTATGAATTAATTGCGTTCGATCCAGGGAATGCAGGACATGGCGTTTCCGACCGTCCTATTTTCAAATTTTTTTGCAGGGGAGCATGCCCCGGAACGCATTCGGGGCTGACAGTCCGCTTGTTTCTCCAGTGACACTGGGTGCTTAATGTTCAGTTACAAAAAACTCCCCACCTGGACAAAACGAATGAAGATACCGAGAAACAGTGGTCCAAAATCTACATAATTCTGGTTGAAAACAGAAGTTTGGACACCACATGAGAAACTATACAAAACGAGACTACGTAGCCACTGAGAAAATTGATTCATTCAATGAATAGGTGATCAAAAGTCTTCGTGAATCATGAATCTGGAAGAAAATTCTTGTAGGAATCATAAATCATTTAGGTAAAAACGACAGGAATCATGAATATCAAGATTCAAATGATTTCGCTTCTGGTCCCCGGATGTACAATCTTGGCAAGCTTACATGAGACTTAAAGAAAATCGCTATAAGAAGTTGCGTATCGTTCAATTTACGCAAGTCAGATCACGAGTAAGTTTATTGCGGCCAATTAAGCATTTCCTTAGACGTGACCAAAAAAATAATACTCTCCAACCATACCACGTCTTTTTTCGCCTCACCTGTTGGAAAATAAAGGTCGAGCTAAAAGGAAGTCGTGAAGCTTGATCGCTTGATTGGAGTCTCTACTCCTAGGTCCTTGATTAGCGTTGATGGAAAGAGAAACCTCTGCGAAGCGCATCACGAGCGTCAGTTTGAAGGCGAACCTGTGCGAAAAATTCGCCCGGCCGGGTAAGTGGTTAACGGTCAAGAAAGGCCCGGGCAGAGACCCACCACATCGTTTTAATTCTTTTGAACCATAACCAACCCTTTAATCGTAGTATTAACTTTAATTTTCTCGATCTTCTTCGTTTTTCATAATCGGAGCTGGCACGCGCAAGAATTGACTAAGCTCCTAAATGAGTAAAGGAGGAAAAATCGCCTCCGGTGTCCTTCGTTAATTGGCCACAAATCTACATTTTGACTTAAATATTGGACTGACTAACCTAGCATTTTCTGGCCTTGGTACGAGACTGGAACACAAGCTAACACTGAGTTTAACATATAACATACTTTATGTGAAAATATAAATTTGCGTGCTAGGAAACCACTTCATTCAGTTAAAGGCGAAGTTACCGTTGGTCGAGGTCGACAGTGAACGAAATCACTTGTGATCACGCGATTAACCTGCTGGGTTTTAATCTTACTTAGGGTCGATCACGCGATTATGCCCCTTCATACAATGTCTGCGGTCTTCCTTGCGAACCTCGTTTCAATAAGCTGAACAGGAAGAAGAAATACCCTGAGAACGAGGCTGCCATCTCGTTTCTTTTTCGACCGCGCAGTGTGAGTGTGCTTCGAGCCTGGTGGATCTACCATAAACTTCAAGTGCCGTTTGAGTATGCGGTAGTTGTTGGTCAAATATTCAGGAGTTGCATTGATAACAAGACCCAGAACTGCAGCTGCATCAGCAGTCATACTCAGCTAGTGCTGTAAGCTAAGTGTGATGGCGTGAAATCCACTGATCTATAAGCAAGATTAGTAGGATACCTCGCCTTGAATGAATGGCCGGCCACAACTTCAGCTTCAAATCTACAAGAGGATTACTCTTCTAGAATAGAAGATAGCCAGAAAAAAATGGACATGAATGGTGCTGGCTTATTACACTGTTAGTTACTGGGAAAGATTGGCACATACTTTCAGCTAATTTACCAGTAAACTGGAGTCATTGTAATTGAGGAATTTGATTTCTGTACTTTGTCACAACAATGCAAAGAAAAACCTACTAAAACTACACGAGTGAGTCAAATAGAGATAGATAGATAGATAGCTTTATTAAAAATCCATTGCAGCCCAAGGGCTGGATTACGGACTGTACAATACGTTGAATACTAAGACTAACTATTATAAATAAATAACAGTAAATAAATAAAACAAAAGAACAAAGATACTACGTCATGAAATTTAAGAAAATAGCCGCGAATTTACAATAAAACCATTAGGAAATAGCCGCGTTATGCATGATAAAACTATTCATTAGTGTATTTGTTCTACAAAGAGGCACGTTAAAAGCGCGCTTTCTCCTTAAGGCTACAGTACTAAGATTACGTGGCGGCAAAGGGCCATGTAATTTGTGGAGGCTGTTGTCCTTAATCTCATTGAATAGGCGCTCTGTCAGCCATTGGCGCCGTTGATGGAGGGTGGCAATATTGCACCCTTTGAGAGCCTCTTGATAGCCTAAATCTGGGAAAATAATTCTAAGTGCACGGCGCTGAATTTTCTCTAGCTCTTCAATAAAGATTTTCTTAAAGTCCACAGATCGAGAGATGACAGTTGGGGGAAGTTGACGCTTCACGAAATACTGTACCAAAGGATTAGAAGGATCTTGTACTCTTACGCACTAAAAGTCTTCACTGTAGGCTGGAAATTTGCTTCAACCAATCAGAAATACTTTACAGACCTTGTAGTGACGCGTCATCAGTATGGAATTTTCGCGCTTCTTCCTCAGACGTTATTTCGCAGGAAAACCAGTGGTGGCGTCGATAAATGTCGCGTGATTTTGTGGAAGCTACCCACATTGCTTTTTGTAAAGAGCCGGGAAAGGTAGACATGTGTGTGTGGCGATTAATGATAAACTATAGACGAATGTGCTGTGTTATATCCTGTCGCTGCGACAGTAACTTTTGCTGTCAAGTAAATGAGCTAAACAACGTACTATCTCATTTTATATCTCGAGACAAGTGTCGTCTAACACAGAAACTTTAACATTACATCCACTGAAAAACTTGTTTTATGCATAAAATCATAAGTACAGACTCTGCTCCATTAGAGCGTGCTCAACAAACTTGTCCTGCATTTCAAATCTACAGTGTCACATTGATTTAACGATAAGGTCAAGTGGAGTCAGAAACGCTATGATTGATATTACTAACACAAACCTCTTAAAGCCTTTAATACCAGTAACTGAAACCGCGTAACAAATTATCAGAAAAATGCGTATCTCTTGGTCGATATAGTTTAAAATGCCTGAGGGATTAAAAAAGATTAAAGTTTCACTTAGCAAGCACAACCATTCCCTTGTTAACTGGGTGCAAATCCCAGAGACCTGAGAACCAGCGTTGTTCGCCTCACTGGGGGCATCATTGTTTGCCGATTATTCGTAGAAACGAAGTTGAGCTAGAAAACAAGGAATATGCCAGGTAAAGCGGAATACTTACGCTGAACATTGGGTTCTTCAGTTTCAGCAGTTTGACTGACTACGATAAGGTGGTCTCAAACTCTCCTCGATTAGTAATCAAAGCTTAGTGCGCATTTTGGGTAAGTCTTTAAAATTTCGGAAGTCGCGCACCTTTGATGTCAGTGCCAATTCACCGATATACCGCTAATAGATCATTGCTCGATACTTTGATCCATTAAAATTAATCCTGGTCAGAAGCTAAGTACCGTTAAGCACAAAGGCAGACAAGCCGAAAAAGTAGAATTATGCATGGGGAACAAAATGGAAGGATCTACACACTTCAAATTTTTTTAAGGCGCACTTCTCAAGGGATAAAACCGTGCACTGCTTTAGACCGCAACGGTTAGAAACTTGACCCAATTTCAGACCAAAAGGGATTAAATCCCAGCCTAGGACCAAACTCCTTAGTGACCCGTAGTGAGGGAGAAAGGCGAAAAAAACATCGGCCAGCGAGAGTCGGTACCACTCGGGAGGCTTCTCTCACGGACACGAAAAGCTGTCCAGTACAGACAGCAAGTAAGTACAATATGAACACCTATCCGATATGTGACTATCCACTTTGGAAATCGGCGCACAAACAGAAATTGCGCCGAAATCACCATTTTTATGTATGAATAGAAGCCCTAACAAACTCTAAACCCCTTGAGTGTGAGGACAGCTTTACAAACCAACAACACAGTAATTTCTTGCTGTATTGTCGACGACAGAAAGGTGTGAAACAGCCACACCTCAATCCCTAAAAAATAGTCCAAATAGCTGTGGCAACCAAGCTCTCGCAGGAAAGAAAATTACTGACAGCTGTAAATAGGGAGTTTAGGAAACTACGACGACGACAGAAAAAGCTTCACTGAAAAAATGCCTTCGTGTTCTTTCAAACTTTATATGTTTATCGCGTTCATTTAGCCTCGGTCATTTTGTGAAAAGTGGTGAATTTCCCTAGAGCTGAATTCTTAAGACTGCTTCCAAGTTTTAAAATGGAAAAGAAAATTCCTTTTTGTTTGTTTACGCGGTCCATATAAAACGACACAATATATAGGACGTTTCACGTCGTGGTCGTGCTGTGGACGTCAAAAAATGCACCAAAAACAATGGTGCACGTGCAGAGTTGTTCTTTTGTTTATTAAGGTCTAGCCTGTTTCAGGCTTCAAGATGGTGGTGAAAACGGATCGAGAAAATGTGCAAAGAGCCGCGAGAGGCCTGGGGCCGTTTTTCGCTCGTCCACACTAACTGAGAGCCTGGAACAGGCTTATTAAGGTCCTATCCACAGGTATCCGGATATTTTTTAAAGCAGATTTTTTTTCTCTGTTTTCAAAAAATACGCGTCCGCACGTTGCGTTTCTTAATCCATCGTTTTTTACCCCGGCCGAGTCCACACAAAAAACGCAATGGCCACTGAAAAGGGTACCATCTTTGATAAGAGCAAGCGCATATAGTTGTATCCAACACCGTGACGTAATTGTGTTTTCGTAAGAGACATTTGGCTCAACGTTTGCGGCAAACTTGCCACGTGACCAAGTTTTTCCTTTGCTTGTCTTTAACTGTTCTTTACTCCAACAAAAAAAATAGATAGTCTCACGTTATTGTCATTTATAATAATCGTTTTGAGACTTTTTTAGTCGCTCATTTTTTATTTTGAGAAATTTTCAACTTGACACTGCCGTTTGCCGTAAACGTGAAACTAGATCTCTCATCCAAACGAGTACAGTAAAACGGCGCTTTCAAAAATCTTCATGCACTCTGGAGAGCGCTTTTGAAAAGTTGGGTTTTCGGTGACCGTATTTTCACCGGATACGTGTGGACACGATACGGTCATGGGCCAAACCGGAGAAAAAAAATCTCTGTTTTCAAAGACTGAACGAGTCCAACTGGACGGGACCACAACCTGTTGCCTTTTTGCCGTTCTTGGTGCCGTGGTCGCCATGGTTACTCAAGCTTGGGCTAATATATTGTAATCATCAATCATAACTGCAAAAAATTTAACAACGATGGCGCTATGTAAGATGAATTGGAAGAAATAAGAAGGTAGCTTTCTCGCCTTTCTCGCGTGGGGTGATTTTCACGCGCGTTCGCGTCTCGCACGCTCTACTATCCCTGAGGAAAAATGGGGACTACTCGTAGTCTAAAGGTCGTCGGGATGGAGCACCTTCACTCACGGGCGCGGTCATCTTGGTTCCGAATGTACCGAGTCTAGTCTGGGGATGAGTATCAATTAATAGTGAGGCGTGGGATAGTTTGGTAGGAAGGGAGAAAAGTGAATCCGATCAGACAATTTGGGCCATTTTCAGCTTTATTCATCCAGCCATTACATTTCCTCCTGCCGATTTGTTAGGTCTGTGTACTCCTCAAGCCAAAGAAATCCTAAAAGAGGCTTTGTATCTTCGGCTGTCATTGTTACACAGCAACAGTCGGTTAAAGGGCTGTTATGACATTGGACGAACAAAATTACGTTCTGGATTAAGCTTACGATTCTGCCAGAAACCTTCCTACACTATTTTGCTATCTGGTACTCGATTATTCATATAATATATAACTATTTAAAAAATATGTCTCTTGGTTTGCAATAAATACAATAGACTGAAAAGATCTGGCTTTCTGTGAATGAATACTAATAAATATATCCGCAATACTTCAATGGATTTTATACTGGACAGCTTCTTTTGATTTGCCTTCTTCTTTATTTCTGTTCTAGTTTTCATTTTTCCACTTTTCTAGCCATCTTCTCACTTCTGTTAGGTCATAATGATACGGGCCCATGCCTCCTTCGTAAACTATTTTCCCTTGTTGTACAATAAACAGTCTCTCTGGCAAAGCGCCATAGGCTTTATCAGCTTCATCTTCCATTGTATCGACCATGATGGGCGCAGGGCATCCACTGGATTTCAAAATTTCTGCTGCTTGACATCTCTCTTTTAAACATTTGTGCTGTGCAATTTCAACGTTATTCTGCATCAAAAACAAAGATAAATTAAGACAACGTTAGATGGTTTCTACCGACGAAAACATGTTTTTTTCCTTTTGTAACAAAGATCTGAGCAAACTTATTATCCATGAGAAAAACAGTTTAAATTAAAAGTACGTTTAACTTTTTCTCCTTAAACGCGGTCGTCACGTTGCCATGGTAGAAAAAAATTTTCTGGATCTCAACGAACCATGAATATGGCAGAAAAAGCAAAGAAATTGACATGTATGACTTTCCTGTACTTGATTGCACTCAGGAACAAAACGGTAGCCCACGATTTTTTTCCATCGTTCGACAATACAAATGACCGTCTCTGTCATGAAAGATTGTTAAGATCCAGAAATTTTGCTACCATGGTAACGTGACGTCACACTTCTCCTTCTAATGTTGGAATCAAGGCTCAATTTATCAGTCGCAGAGGTTCAGTTCAAACAAGGGCAACTTTTTTTGGACACGTCATTCAAGTCAGTACATTATTGATATTAGGCCCTAAAATCTCTTGAAAACTGAAGAAATCTAATGTAAGGTAAGAATGCATGGGTATCAGGGAGAGTGTAAGTCGTGGGTGTGGAAAGAAACTCTCCTTAACCCTTTCGCTGCCAGAGTGTTTGATGGAGTTCTGTAAGGTGACTCTGACTTTCGATTCTGCAGACAAAATCCTATGATTAATTATATGTCGCCTTAGACCATAATTAGTAACAATAATAACAAACAGTAAAAATGTAATGTTATTAGTTGCCAACTAATCATTAATTATTAAGAATAAAGTAACACTGATTATTAATAACTACCCACACGCACGAACCTATCACGATTTTTGCCCACGACCCACGACCCACGACCACTTAGTCAAACTCAAAATAACCCACCACTGTTATTCACTCTCGAAAAGCATACTTAATCACGCAATATCCATGAGTGCCTAAAAGCATATCGCCCTCCGACGCAGACGTAATCCCCCGGTTAGTAACGTCTGCGAGGAAGCGTTGATAATTACGGCGTCCCACGCAGACGTTCTTAGGGCTTCGTTCTCGGGAAGGGAACGCTTGGCGGCCCCATGCAAGCTGTATTAGCTTTAATTTTAACCATGTTTAAATAAAAGTTGTTGTTGTTGTTGTTATCAGAGCTCGTACCAATATCCTGGTACAGGTGGGGAACGAGGAAAAACGATTTTGGCGCTGTTTCGCAGACGTACTTAACCAGACTTTTAGTTCCCTCTGCGACGTAGGCTACAGCATACAGTGTCTAGAGTAGCTTCTAGTGGATATAAGTAAATTTTTTCATACCTATCCGAATTTTACGAGAAGACTTCTCCCGCGCTCGACAAAAAAGCTGGAAAATTTCCGATCAAGTAGACGGCCTGATTATATGTTACGTACATTAAAGTCAGACCAAAATGTAAGTAACTTTACTGAGTTTAGTTTCAGACGTCTAATGATTGCTTTAGGAAACTGTTCGTTTGCTTGCAATTCTTTTCAAAACTGATGCTTTAATTGACCAGCTATGAAATGTAAGCAAAACTTAGCAGGGTAACACATACGAATTTTCGTGATAACATACAGAGAGTTTCATAATCACCTGTGAGCACGATTTCATCAGTCCATGAGGAGAGGTCATTGATATATTTAAATCCTTCATGCACATTAATATTACGGACATGACAGCAAGGGAAATCAACCAATATTGGGCACTTCATTTTCTACCGTTCGTTCTTACAAAATAAACAAGTCCTTCAGATGGTTCTTGGCTTTTTGCCGCCAGATGGCTACGCAAAACGGCGACGGCTCATCTCTTTCACGATAGCACGCAGTCGGCAACGCCGAGTTAGTCTGTGGTAACAATTTGGCCAAGCAATAACATGCTCAAAAACGTACAGTTGTGCTAATAGTAATTTTTTTTAACTCCGTTGTAAAATGTTTGAAGAACGATCTCAGTCACTAAGTACCGGGGAGTAATCAAAAAAATCATTTTCATGATGTTTAAGTTATTACCTATTATTACGCAAGACAAGACAAAAAAGAAACCACTGTACTTACATTCCAACTCCATCCATCCGAAGGGTGTGCCTCACGAATATAGATGACAAGGAAGTCTGCTACATCCCCGAAGTCCTGAACAACTTTGGTAAAGTCGTTCTGAAGACGGATGAAAAACGGAGGTCAGGTACAGCTGCCGAAGTTAAGAACCAGAGGTCTATTTCCTTTCATGAAGTCGAGCACTCTGCACTTCTGTCCCTCCGTGGAAACTAGCTTGCAGTTCGGGGCCGCCAAACCAACTCGAGCCGTCTTTTTCAGTTCGCTTAGTTCTATGTTCAAGGTCGTGGTTAACATATCCCAGCTACACCAGGAAGGCCAGAAATTCTCATGAGGCACAAGAAAGTGCCTTTCGTTGTATTTCTTGATCATGTCTTGGAGAAAGGGCAGCGATGAAGCGATCCGTATTAGACCAATAGTTAAGACGGTGCGGATCACGATAAATGGCTGTATAACAGCGCGCGGCAGGTTAGACAGCATGGCCGCTGCAATAGTGTTGAAGGGCCGTAGAGATCAATTGATGACGCAGTATCAAATCTAAACAAAAGCACGAGTCGACTAATAAAACCGTTTAACCTGCTCGAGTTTATATAGATGTGCCAAGGACTTCCTTTAGCCAATATTTGGTTATTAACATTCTTCGGATAGTTAAGACGTAAGATGTGCAAGGACCTGTAAAAATACGTAAAGATTCAAAATAACATAATTTGATAATATATCGTGATAAACTGTGCAGTCACGAAAGCTTGGGTTTCGCGGTTGATTATTATACTTAGATATTTCGCCTCTTGAGTCGAGAGGCTTCGAAAAGCTGTTATTCAATGTTGAGCTGTTTTGAAAAGTGGTCAGGAATTAAAGCCAAAACCGCACGAGTACATGTTATGGGGTACAATATGATTAATAATCGAAACATTGGAAATCAAAAGATGCGTGCGAATCGCGGATCATTAATCAATTCATGAGAGGGATTATTCAGAGCTGGTTTAAAAGGTAGACCTTTTCTGACTCTTTGATCTGAACCTTTGCGTGCAGCACACGACAGAGCGAGAATTTTAATAGCTTTACGCACGGAAATAGAGAATTGGACACAATGAAACGCTCTGGCGCAAAAAGGCAGGAAGACAGAACAGAGCATATTTTTTTGTTAGGGCTCGCCCATATTTGTAAATTGGAAGCTAATAAAACTAAAATTAACACCCTCCCACACGTTAAAGTCACCCTAACAAGAACACCTTATTCTTTTTTTTCCGGATATTTATGAGGGACAATTTGATGTCCATATGGAAGTTAAAGTCTTCCGCATCACGGATTGGTGTACGTGTGGGCCATAAGAAATGCGACTGAAAAAAAAAATACTGACTTAGGTCAGTTTATTAAATAATCGAAGTAGCCTTAACTGTCCAAAGAAAATTCTTCAATTGTACTTAACATATTTGTATCAAAAAACTCGGCTTTTTCAAAGCAAATGTCCAGTTTTTTAGTCCTTAATACAACAATCAAAGAACAAGCAAAACCGCCCCAAATCGGTATTGAGAGTTTTAGAAATAATCCTAAACTGACGAAAAGTGGCAAAGACCTCGTTACAAACTTTGCGGTATTGGCGAGTTTAAGATGTCACTAAACCTAAAACTCCTATACTGACACAGTCTGGCGAACAGTAAGGTCATTTAGAAAGGAATTTGTTGTGCTCTTCTAAAAGCCACTTGTAAAAGGCGAATATACATTTGAAAAGTTGGTGATTTATCACCATCTCATGAAAGTGTCATATCAAGGAAACTAAGCTACCCTCTACTTCGCCGGCACTGAGCAGTTTGGTTATCGTTTTCTACTCACAACCCCAATGACATGCCTGGCTCTTTTAATCCGCAAAGCTCTTGACATGCATTTCTCTCCTCAACATAGACAAAAAATACAATTAAAAAAATAACATTGCTCTGCCTAGGCACATTTTGTAAGTTTATGTGCTTAAGTCTGATCACTTTAAATAAACAAGTTGATTTGTTTGCTCAATACTTAGGACCTACAGCAACGACTAATCGCCACATATTTAATGCCCGTTCGTGTCGTTATTTCAATGATCTTGCACGAACACACGTGCGAAAACCACAAAAAAGATGAAGTCCAATACAGTTTTCCAATACTTAACACTGTGCCTGCACGATATTGTTTCCTGAGCTTACTTGAATGCTCTATGCCTTTTTGACATTACAATATTGCTTGCTCAACGGCTTACATGTTGCTCTAGGGTGGATTTCCACTGTCGCGTAATTCAGTTTTACGCCCATAAATAAAATTGAGGCAATGTATGAAAGGTCGCGCGTAACGTACACGTTGAACCTCGCTCAAATTAAAGGTAACGCGCGACCTTTCATACATTACCTATATTTTATCTACGCACGTAAATTACGCGTGCATGTACGTCAAAATTGCGTAACAGTGGAAATTCATCTTTAAAGAACATACTTTCCCCCCTGCACAGCCAGAGGTAGGACTAATAACGGCTCCTTTTGCTGCCAGGGGCCGGACGAGAATAACTAACTTGGTTCAGATATATACAGAGCTACCTTCAAGCGCTGACGTGCAAAAATGTACTGGTACTTCCACACTCACTAAATGAGAAGAAGTGTTGTTTGAAGAGAGGGCTTCCGTCCTCTTTCAAAACCTCCCACATTCAGCACTTTTCAATGCATAGCCATTTAAAACTGTCATTTTGTGAAGAAATATTCCTAAAAGAGCAAATGGCATTATGCAAAGCAAGAGTTTGTTCTCTTAAGACTCTAACAGAACTACATTATGTTAGACCTTTTAAAACGTAAAGATTCTTCACGACATCAACACAAAAATGTCAGTTCTTTAAACCCTGCTAGCAGAAGTTTCAGCTAGTTCCTTTCGGTAAGATTTATCGCATGTACGACATGTACCGCCGGAACCTTTCGCGTGGCCAACATTCGCGTAGGTTGGCTTGTTTTAATTTTCCCGGTTTTCTCGCAGACGTAAACAAGCCAACCTACGCGACTTTCGAAAGACTCCGGCTGTCTGCTAACAGGATAGTTCTATAAAAAGCAGGGCTGGAATTCAAGAGAAGAAATTTGAGAACCAAGATGCCCACAACAATAACCACCATTTTCGTCAAACGTCGCGTGGGCAAAACTTTAAAAGTGACCGCCGAACAAATCGCGAACATCTAACTGAAAACCTCCGTAAATATACAAACAATTAGTTTAATTTATCTCGTGTAACCCTTCAACTGCTACTCAGATCTGAGCTCTTGAATAATGTCAAAATTTAGTGACCATATTGCGATGGGCGTTGGTTGTTGCTGTGTATGTATTGTCGATGATGTCATAGTACTTTGGACTGTGAACACGTGAACACAACCACTACAGCAACAACGACTTTAAAACGGAATAACGGGTTGACCCAACAACGCTTCCAGATGTTTCTGAGTGCATCGGGTTGTTGAAAAGAGATATATGTCTATTTGCGCATTATTTTCTCACCGTTCTTGCAAATGGAATGGAAAACGCAAACTTCAAACAGTGAATTTGTCAAGAGCGACGATGGAAGTTCCACTAGAAACAAGACACTTCTTCTAATTTCTTACACCGATAAAGTCGAAAAGTGTAAAAAAAAAAATGCATAGAAAAGTCAACAAAAGCGTGTGGAAACTTCAGACCAATTCTTTTTCCTAGAAACTCTTAAAATAGGACAAAGGTAGCGTTTATGTTGACACTTCTTTCACAAAATTAGTTCATGAAGAACTCCATTGATCTTCGAGCCATATTTCAGGGTGCAATACCTTTTTTTCCACACTTAAAGGAGCCGTGTCATTAAATTTATTACTCAAAGGTTGGATCTGCCATCAAATTGAGTGAAACATAAAAAAACAAACCGCTCAAAACATCAAAAAATGTAAATAACACAGTGATCACTAAATGGAGTCATGGAAAAACTTGAAGAAGATTGAAACGAATTACAATTGTGGTTTTTGGAAACAAGTTAGCGTCAGAGTTTTTTATAGTTTATTTTTTCTCGTTGTTTGTAACCTTTGATATGGTTTGATACAGTGCTTGGCGAACATATTTACTTGACACGAGGCTGTGGTTTTGTTATTCACAAGCAATTTCTCAAGTTCCACAGCGAACAAGGACGCGTAGTCGGCATAGTTAACTTGGAAATGAACTATAGACAGCCGTGATACAGCCCTTTTAAGCATGCGTGCTTTTCAAGTAGTTTGTTTTCTCACTGTTTTCGTCATGGTACTTGAGACTTTGGCGTAGCGTCAACTTCAGCACCATAAATGAGTAACTAGTAACCTTACAATATCAAGTATAGTTAATTCCCGATTTATATTGAAGACCCGTTGAAGTTTTAATCGAACAAATAACGATTATTTCGAAAATAATGATTCGTGTCGGTCACAGAGCACTACTCCGCCAAATTGTAATGTATGCCGCCACTTCGGGTTGTATAAAAACACGTGCTTGGCAGTTATCAAAAAACGCAAGCAAAAACTTCTGGAATTCTGAACAAAGCAGTAAAAAACTACTGACGAAACAGTGGAAAGACGTTATGATTTTAATGGTTCATGTCATAACAACCCGAAAGCTGCCATCCATCAACGTACCGTTTACACGAGAAATTTCAGTTTTCACTGTATTCAAATACATTTTGGCTTTAGAATAAGGCAACTTCGCTGTCATCACTTCAGACTGGATTTCTGGTATGCTTTCTACGTTACGATACTGTTCCGCGGTGTAGCCGATAGCAGGGAACAAGTGTTACAATATACTTAACGATATGTTTTGTTTATAAGCTAAACAAACGGTGGGTATACTAGCCCATACTGGCTTCACAAATAAGTTTGTAAAACATTGTACGGCTAAAATAATGCGATAAGATAATAATCCCAAATTGTACTTTAATCCACATAAATGGCACAGTTTAACGTGACTAAGCACGGACGGTGCACAAAAAAACACATACAATATGATCTGCTTCTTTGAAAGATCGCTTTCAAGTGAGTGAAGCAGTATTTATCACATAAATCAAGGAAAAAACAAAAGGAAATGAGAAAAATAAGAATGTAAATACTTAAGGAGATAATAAAAGGAAATTTCGTGGCAATTATGTAATATTCCTGAATGTTTGTAAATAAGAGAGCTTTTTCATGCTGTGGGTCTGTATCACAAACCTAAAGGGCGCTCTCTGATTGGTCAATTAACCACCTACTAATATAGCCATTGGAGCACACTTATAAATAGAGAGCTTCAATAACATGCCTAAATGCTACCAAAAGTGGTTTTACCCGTATAGAGACTATTTTCCCGAAAATTTTGGTGTAAAAGCACTGCCCAAGAATGCAAAACTTAATTTCTAAACTACTAAGACACTTAGTAACACAAATGTGGTAATGTCAAGCTATATTAAAAGGGAAAAAGCATCACTTCCGCTTGACGTGTTACGCTCAAAAACGTGTTTGCCTCAGCTCCCTAATAGCTAAAGAACAGAACATGCCAATTTATTCGCAAATACAAATTCTGGCTTTGCTTTGTGGTTGAGTTCTATGAATTAACCACACGGATTATAAGCAAAAGAATTCCTTCAAACCCACTTTTACAGAGAAAGTGATTAACGGCGCTCGTTCGATGTTGAAATCACGTAACGCATGATTTCGGTCCAAATTGCACTCCATTCGGTTCAATTACGATTATAAGTACATTACTAATTATAAATAATCCAACATAAGCTTTATAAAAGAACTTTGTCTTTCCTGACCGCGAAATGTTTTCCGAGACTATTTAACTTCCTTTTGTGCTATTATAACATAATCCAGAGCATATTTTACATCAATCATGACGAAAGGCTTCGTCAAAAATAACGACTAGGTTTATTTAGCAACAGGACGGGAACGTCAGTTGACGACTGCGCGCGCAAATCAAACAACTGGCTTGACTAACATTCTCGTCCCCAGAGCCACTCGGCTTAATTTGTAACGAGCCAGTGGCTGAGCCCCTCGTTTCAAAACCACGTGACCAAGAAACGACGGGCTCTGGGGAAGAGAATGATGGCAGAGCTGCAAATTTGCCACCGGAAGTCGAGTTTAGTCCTTTTCGCGCGCTTTCCCGTCGTCAAATGACGTTCCCGTTCTGTTGCTAAAAGCGAGTTTACGCAACAGGAAGGCAGAAACTGCGAGGAGGATGGCAAAACGCTTGTGCGTGAGAAACGTGACAGGGCTATTACTTGCGTGTTACGTCGTGATCCTCACTTAACATTAATGTTTTCTGGTATTAGCAAAAACTAGCCTGCGTGGCAGCCGTTAAAAGGGGAAGGGGAAGGGGGAATTTGAATTTGGGCGCCCTAATTCCCTTCCCCTTCCCTTTCCAACGCCTGCCACGCAGGCTAAGCAAAAACATCTGTTTAAAGGAAAGTGAAGTTTGGCTTTAAGTTATTTCAAATAAAATTATTGTCTCGCTTGTCACACAAGGTTTTCCGTCTTCTTTCCTCTTTCGTCCTGTTGGCGACAAAAGAGGCATCTAGTATAGTGTAGATATACTCCGAAGGCCACCCATCGGTCAGATTTGAATACGTCATCGAAAGGTAGAACTTACTCGCCAGAAGGTGACATTTCAAAGACTCAGTCAGGTATATGAAAGGATAGGTATTTCACAAGTAGAAGTATATGTCAGGACAGGAAAATCTGTCAATTCGATTTGTAAAAAAAGTCCAAAGGGCTAACAGATGCATTTTATGGCTGTGGAAAAGTCGCTAAAACGTTGTGATTTGTATTAATAACTTAATAATAGTGCATTTACATGTTGAGTCAGTGCACACTATACAGACTACCGTTCCTTCTAATATCTGGGAACCTTTACCAAACCCATGTACGTGTACAGACAACTCTGGTAGCTTAATCTAGCGTCAGTCGATGTGATGTAGAGACTTCCGTTGACGAAAGAGAAATAGGCGACAAGTGTCTTAAGGATATTAGAAGTAGTTGTCTACCTAAACGATATTCTTCTCTCTCATTGGTTCGTTCCTCATGACACGCTCGAATCCCAGCAAAGAGAGATCGATTGTCTGAAAACCGCCGTCCAAGATGAGTTCACTGACAGCACGCCCTGCGGCCGGAGATTGCTGAATACCATGGCCACTAAAGCCGTTAACGAAAATAAGATTTCTTACTTCGGGATGGCGTCCTATAATGGCATTTTGATCAAGGGTGTTGTAGTCGTAGTGTCCGGCCCATGCACTTTGAACCTAATGCAAAAGTAAACAGAGTAGATGTACTTCAGTTGAAAAGCCACATCGCCTTGAGATAAACGACCCTTATCTTACACAAACAGGACGCTACGGCGACGCCAAGCAGCCTTGAGACATTTCAGGAGCCATAATATTCTCATTGTCGGGCAGTGAAAAACAAATTCTTTATACAAAAAAACGGAGTTTTGGATCGAGCTAAAGAGCAGCTAACTGGACTTCCTCGATAAACAAAACCTTAATCTTTTTTTGTTTACTACGACTGCGAGATTGAGTACGAATATAACTTTAGACCGTTTTTAAGCCAGTCACGTCCCTAGAACTATCACTTCCTTCTGTTGGCGACCAGCGGAAAAAGAAATGTAAGAGGTGTGAACACAGGGTCCTAGACTCACAACAGCCTGCTGGAAGCCAATTATAAGGATTTGTATGGGAATTATCACGCCCTGTGGTGTGACAAATGATTATCTAAAGCAGGTCAACTTGGTTTGACAACTCATAACCATGGTAACCTTACACAATCTCGTACTCCTTCAGATACTCGTAGTTCAATCTAAAGGCCGAGCGAGAGTCTGTTTCCTCGAATAATAGCTGTCCTTCGATTAATCGCCCCCTTTAGACGGCAATATTTAAAATAATCGCCACCCTTGAAAAATCGCCCCTCCGCCCACCCCTCTTGCCTTCTTCTCTTTCTCTTATCCCCTCCCTGCCAAGTTGAAGTAAAGTCTGATCCAGCAAAACTGATCAGTGACAATTCAAGTTCCGACGCCGAGGATATTGACATTGAAAATTTATTAAAGAACCAAATTTGGAACTCTTAAAAAGCCTAATAATGTATATGTGATTATTTTTCTTGTTTTAATGGGATAATAAAACCAAATTTTTTGGGCAATTTCCAGTGGGCAATGTTTGAAATAATCGCCTCCCTCGAATAATCGCCCCCTTTTTGTGCGAAAGAAAAAATCGCCCTTCGAGGCAATACGGCATTTTACGCCCCCTCTCTCCATCAATGCTCCGTTTTAAGGGTATTTAAAGCTAGTCAAAGCTACACTTGAGAACAAGGATGTAATGTCGTCACCGGGGATCGAACTCGGGACCTCGCGCACCGAAGGTCGCGCGCTAACCGAAACCAACTGTGCCACCCTTGCTCCTAATTTATTCAGGAACGATTTTTTTCCCAGTTTCCTGTACAACTTTACACATTTACCTTCAGGCATTCAAATGCAGGTATCCTGTGGGCTATAGTTTCCCACATTCTGTCGGTGAAATAATCGTAGTCAACTTCAAAGTCTGATGAATCATAATCTTCCATCTGTGTAAGGGACGAGAGAAATATGAACTTGGATAAATTGTTTTTATTTTACGACCTTTTAGTTCAAATATCAATCGCAACAGCTGTGAAATACCACATCAAAATTCCTCACACTTTTTGGAGACAGTCCACTCAAAAATCTTGCCCCATCATGTCGGAGATAGAGCCCAGACGGATCAACTAAAAAGCCTAAAGGAAACGATTCATTCGCAGGAGCTCCAGGGCAATCCAAAACAAACACGTAACGTTTTCTTGGTCGTACTGGTAGGTCTATGCCAAGCTTTTCTGCGAGATAACCTGCGTTTGGACCTGCAGCGTTTACCAGTTGTCCACAATGTATGACGTTCACATTTTCCGGAGATGAACTGGAAACCACCTGAAGATTTAAATCAAGAAGCAATATAATTACCGTAAATGCTCGAATTTGCACCACATGGAATTAGCGCCTCGTACCTGAAAGTGAATACTCCATCTAATACCCCCCTCCACCCCTGGTGCACAAGGATAGCGATACAAAAATTAAACTGGATTACAAGGACTTAAACTGAGTGATAAGGCTGTAATCCACCTACTCTATCTGCATAATTCTTCATATTATTCTCAGCCTCATTCAATAACGGCTGATAATAACAGAATAACGCAGCACAGTAGAGCGAACACACATTTGTGTTTCTTCTTCAACTCCACGATATATGGTCCATTTTCCTTCTTCAGGTTTTAGTTTGTGTTGCAAACTTTCACACTGCAATTTCCAGCGTTAGAGGCTAGTGTGAGTGCTTTACCGGGAAATACTAAAGGATGCGCTGGCTGTAGATGGATGAGAAATTCAAACACTGCACGAGGCGTGGCTGAGTGTGATATTAAAAATCTTTAAGTTGATTCTGGACCCATTCTACTGCAGCTAGCAAGAGCGTTTCTTTGCTGGAAGATCCGGCATGACCGAGAAGTCCTCTAACCCTTTTTTATGCAAATTGAGCGCTTTGCGTTGTAAAAGAGACGCTTTCTAGCTTACAAAAAAAATACTCGCTTCTAAGGTTAATGCTAATCATGTAGCGCGCGCACAGCCTCCTCCTCAGGCGCTTCGTTTTTCGCAAGGTAGAGGCGAGCGACTGGTGATGAGCCGCAAGGGACCATGGGAAGAGTCCTTCCCGCCTTCCTTTGCGCGCGCGCGAGAGACGTCTGGGTACGAGGCAGGCGCGCGCATGTTTCCTTGAACATACAAGCACTGGAAATATTTGAGTCTGAAATTTTCATAAATTATTCCAACCTTAACACTGCTGATTTGTCCGTTCTGATCTGTGTCAAAGTCCACTGCCTCACCATTGACGTAATCCACTCCAAGAGAGATAGCTTTTCTCTTAAAGGCGTTAAGTAATGACCACGGATCAAAGTACCCTTCGTTTCCGGTGCCTGAAATTTGTAGTTGAAGTATTTACAAGAGTCAGAGTCGGTCAATATCGGTATTTATTATACAGATACTGATGAAATACCAGGATTTTCCTTTTTACTAAAAAATCATATCCTCATCGCGCGCAGTGAAGACACTATTTTTATCTTTCACGTGTGAGCATATTGGTGTCGCCATGGTTACTAACATGATTAGCCAATTACAAGAGAGCTTCCCGTTTTTAATACAGTTTTCGAAGTTTTCACGACAAACTGAACTCCTCCGAACCCTGTGGAACAGGCTAAACATTTTTATTTTCTCAGTTCACACACCGGATAGCTTTTCGTGTCGACACTCTCTTCTCCGCAGATGCATCCGCAGATGAGCTTCAAGTTGTGTTTTATGTAGGAATTTCATCAGTATCTATATAATAAACAGAACAATACATGGCCGCTTGGGGATAAGAATTTTATCTTCTCGTGTTGAAAGTATCTCTCACTCGTTCGCCTCGCTCACTCGTAAGAGATACTTTCAGCAAGCACTCGAAGATAAAATTCGTATCCCAGCGCGGCCATTTAATATCCTCTATTTGCAAAAGCTTGCACGATGATAAAGCAAAGGATTGAACGCGGATACCAACTGAAGATCACCGTGACCACGCATCAAACTATTAAATTGGTATTGATAACAATTATTAGCGTTCTATTTTTCAACAAAACTGACCTAGCGAAGCCAGTGATAATCCTTCTGTGTTAAGCCAAGGGAACCTTTCTTCGAGATCTTTTACGGTAAGAAGAGTAACTTGACAACCTAGCTTACTAAAATCAAACACAAACGTCAATAATTGTCATCAGCAAATGAAGAACATTGTATGCATCGTATTAGATGTATTGGTGCGTAGAATCGCTGAGTATTTTTATCCAACTTCTATGCACTAAACATTTAGAAGAAAAACAGTAAAAGTGGAGAGCATGACACAGACTTTTTTGCGTGACAGCCGCGTGCCTTGGTGAAGTAACACCAGCCTGTCACACAATGCAGTTTTCAAATTACTGCCGCTCAAAATTTTATTCTTTTCATGCGAAGTCCTTTTGCCTGACGTAACGTGGTTATTTCTTCACAAATCATGTAAAATGTTCTATCATTTCCCTCTCTTTACAAAAACAGCTTAGCGTAACCTCGTCCCCCGGACTTCTCGGTTGCCATCCCTTTTTCTGTGGATATTCTAGGCCCGGGATGCTCGTCGTCTCGCTTAGGGGTGTAAATTTCGGATTTTGGTCTCACCTAGGGTGTTCTTGGCAAAACGCCATCATATTTAGCCGTGAAGGTCTCGTTTAGGGTTCCACGTGAAAAAATTTAAAAAAATATATATTGTCTGTGTTTTAACATGGTCTCTTTTAGGGGTCAACAAAGGCTTGAGCCACACCCTGATCAGTCTCCTTTAGGGGTTTAATTCAAAATTTCCGACGAGCATCCCCACCCCTAACATATTTGGAGTGCCCCCCTCCCCAGGATTCTGGGCTTACAACTGTCAACATTGGTACCAATATCACAGACATCTTCCAAAATTTGATGAATGGTAGCTGTTAGGAAGAATTAGCCTGTCGGAAACTCGATAATAGCATAGGGTTTTTAATGTTTATTTTGTCACGAGCTGCCAATCTTTGAAGGCGTTTATTTTTATCTGAAAGGCAAAGATCACGTTATTCCACGTGTTATTGTGAAATAGAGTACGTTTGTTATCTTTCTGTCAGCAATATCGTTTTAGCCAATCAGCTCATGTTTATTCAAGGTGTGCTATAGATTAGGGATCGCTCGATTGATGCCAGTGAGAGGTGAATCATTTTTGTAGGAGAAAAGAAAAAACTGTGATTAAAAAACCTGAAAGTGAAGACTGAAGACGTTGTTGGCCTTCTTAACCTATTCCCCACACATGTGGCACCTCCGACGGGACAATCAAGAATCTAAACCGTGACTAAAATGGAGGAAAAGCAAAAGGAACTCGAGACAGAATTGCAACTACTAGCACTTACTCGCTCCAAGACTGCTGCAATCGTGGACAAGGGCAACCTCGACAAAATCCTTCGTCACAAGGAAATTTTGAAGAAAATCGTGAATGCCATCGAAGATCTCAAGGTAGACGTCGAAAAAGCCAAGCTTGAGGCTGGAGAAATCGTCGAGAATGTGCAGAAATGGGGAGCAACAATAGAACAACGCACCGACGAAGCAGATTTGGAGATATCTGATTTAACTCGCAGTCTTGAAGAAGCTGCGACGAGAGCAGAGGACTACAAGCGTGAGAAGGAGAAAACTTTGCTCGATCGGCAACGAGAGGAAGAACTAGAATTTGAAAAACTAAAACTTGAGCAAAAGGCGAAAATTCAACAAACAGAGCAAGCCGCCGCAAAGCTAGCCAGCAAAAGCAACGTGAAAATGCCAAAACTAATCATCACAAAATACGACGGCACCTATGAGAAGTGGCTCTCGTTTTGGAACAAGTTTGAAGCTGATATTGACTCATCTGATCTGCCGGCGGTCACAAAATTCGCTCATCTGAAAGAATTGCTGGAAAGTAATGTTTGCGAATCAATCGACGGCCTTCCCTTTACTTCTGAAGGCTACCAGCGCGCTAAGAATATTCTGACTTCAAATTACGGCAAGATAAGCGAGATTGTAAGGGCATACATCGACAACTTGAATGCCTTGCCAGTGATAACAGGATCACAGCCAAGCAAAATCCATAAATTTTGCCAGACTTTGAACTACAATGTTCAACCTCTTGAGACGCTGGGTAAACTTTCGTCTTGTCTTTCTATGGTGCGTGGTGTGCTTGATAAGCTGCCGGGAATCAAAGCCGAACTCGTGAGTGGAAAAGTAGGATGGCAAGACTGGGGATTCACGGAACTAATACGAGCTCTAGAAGAATGGAAGGCAATTCATCCACTGGAATTAGCTGAGAAAGCTAGCGGAAAACCTCAGGCCCCGCCGCCGCCTCGTCCGCCTCGCCACAGAAGTTTCTACGCGCAAGAACGCGAACCAGCCCGCGCGCGACACGCGTGTGTTTATTGTGATTGCGTGACGCACAGATCTTGGGAGTGCGATAAAATCACGTCGCCTGCCGAACGCCGTCAAATTTTGCAGAATAAACGGTTGTGTTTTAACTGCACTGGGCCCAAGCACAGCGCAAACAACTGCTCTAGTAGAGCTTCCTGTGTACACTGCAAGCAAAAGCACCACTCGTCTATCTGTGACAGACAAGTAAGAGCAAGTCAGCCTAGAAATAATGCTGGAGTCGCATTGACAGCAACACAAGACGGGGAGAAGGTTTGCCATCCTATAGTTCTTGTCAAAGTAAATGGCGTAACCTGTAGAGCGCTACTGGATACCGGCGCAACCGTTTCTTACGCCTCTGGATACCTCTTAGATAGGCTGAAGCTGAGACCAACACGCACGCACACACGCCGTATTCAAACCATCGTGGGAGTGGTTACAAAGCGAAGCGAGATCTTCAACGTCCGAGCGAGCGATACGGAAGAAAAGTATGCCATTCCACTGAGCGTGACGAGAATTGACCGTGCCGAATTGCTGTCTGTTGAAAACCCAAATTATGCGGTAATGATAAGCAAGTACCCACATCTGAAGGGAGTGTACATGGAGGACACAGACTTGAAGAAGATGCTTCCTGTCCATGTTATTCTTGGAGCGAGTGACTATGCGCGAATAAAGACCCGCGAATCTCAGCGAACTGGAGCTATGGGTGAACCAGTGGCCGAATATACTCGCTTTGGGTGGACCATCATGTCACCAGGGACGGAGACAGACCTAGACAGCATGTTCCTAGCGCAAACGGCCTCAAACGATTATGAAGAGCTGTATAGAATGGACGTCCTTGGGCTTGAAGACGCACCTAGTGGTGACCAAAGCGTTGTCTACGCAGAGTTTCGTGAACAGCTTAGACGCAGTCCTGATGGGTGGTACGAAGCACGCCTTCCTTGGAAAGGAGACCACCCTCCCCTACCTTCGAATGAATCTGGGAGCTTGAAACGCCTGGGAAGTCTAGTACAACGTCTAAAGAAAACAGGTCGTCTGGACGAATACGATGCGATAATCCAGGACCAACTGCGCGAAGGAATTGTGGAAGAGGCAGACATGCCAGCCAGTGGGAAAGAATTTTACATACCCCACAAAGCTGTGGTGAGAGAGAATGTAGAGTCGACCAAGATGCGGGTAGTCTACGATGCCTCAGCCAAAGCCCATAGCTCCGCGCCCTCACTAAATGACTGCTTGGAGGTTGGACCGCCGCTCCAAAATAAACTTTGGAAGGTTCTAGTGCGGGGAAGATTCCATCCTGTGGCTCTCGCTGGTGATATCCGCAAAGCCTTTCTCCAAGTGAGAATTCATGTACAAGACCGAGATGCTCTTCGGTTCCATTGGCTAGAAGCTAAAGATCCACAGCGAATTCGGACTTACAGATTCACTAGAGCACTCTTTGGCTTGGGACCCTCGCCTTTCCTGCTAGGAGGTGTGATCCAACAGCATCTGAACACTTGCCGAGATGAACATCCCAAGTGCGTGGAAGAGATTGAGCGTGAGCTATATGTGGATGACATATTATCTGGTGGACCTACTACCGAAGAAGTGAAACAGAAGAAAGCCACAACAACTGAGATATTTGCCCAAGCTACTTTCCATTTGCACAAGTGGCACTCGAACGTGAAAGAGCTGGAACTGGATGACGTACCCGAAGACAATGCGAAAGAACTGGAGCCGGTTACAGTGAATGAGCACGAAGACGACTTAAGCTACGCGAAGCAACAGCTGGGCGTTCAATCTAGACAGTGTGGACTCCTGGGATTGAAGTGGAACAAGTTATCTGACGAAATTGGGGTCCCTTTTCCCGCGAACCTTGCGCAACCGACGAAAAGAGGGATCCTGGGGAAGGTGGCTAAGATCTATGACCCCTTAGGATTAGCCGCACCTACCACTCTACAAGGAAAGCTGCTATATCGTGAGGCTTGTGAAGAGAAATGCGCATGGGACGCGCCGCTATCTGCAGAGCTAGTTCAGCAGTGGAAGAAGTGGGAGAGTTGTTTACCTCAGCAAATTAACTGCCCAAGAGCACTGACGAGTGCTCAACAGCCTATCGAGAACATCGAGCTTCATGCTTTTGGAGACGCTAGCGGAAAGGGCGTCGCGGCTGCCGTGTACGCCGTCGTCAAACAGCCGACTTCAGTAAACAAGGGCCTCGTCACAGCAAAGGCAAGACTGGCGAAGCAAGGGTTGACAATACCTCGCCGCGAACTAGTCTCGGGTCACATGGCCGTGAATCTTCTAAGCAACGTACAAGATGCGCTACAAGGGTTTCCTGTATCCTCCCTACACTGTTGGCTCGATAGCAGCGTCGCACTACACTGGATACGCGGAAATGGAGACTTCAAGCAATTCGTGGCAAATCGTGTCCGAAAGATTAGAGAGCATGGTGACATTACGTGGAGACACGTACCAACTAAGGATAATCCTGCCGACCTTGCTAGCCGCGGTGGACCGGTCACAGAAGAGAAACAACTGTGGTGGAAGGGACCAGCATGGCTCAGTGATCCTAGAGCATGGCCCCCAGACCTTGTTACCGTACCTACCGCAGAATCCAACGCAGAAGCCAAAGTGATAAAAGAAGTCTTAGCCACAGCCCTATCATCAGAAGACGAGTTCAGTGTGCTGATGGAGCAACACAGTCTGTTAAAGGCCTTGCGCGTGTGCGCATGGGTGTCCAGGTTCCTAACTAATTCCAGAAACCCGAAGCCAAGAAGAGTGAAAGGACCGCTGACCACCGATGAAATGAAGTACCAGGAAACCTGGTGGACCAGACGAGCTCAAGAGGAAGGCAGAAGTTCGAAGAATTTCGAGGCAGACAAGTTACAGCTTAACTTGCAACCAGACAACAACGGAATACTGGAGTGTAGAGGACGAATCGTCGGTGCATACCCTATCTACCTTCCTGATGGTAACGCATTCACACACAAGCTTGTTCAACGAGCGCATCTAGCGACCCTTCACGGGGGAGTTACACTCACAATGACCAAAGTTCGGGAGACTCACTGGATCCCTCGCCTGAGAAAACTTACCAAGAAGGTCATTAAAAGCTGTTGGGGTTGCAAGAGATTTCGAGCTCAAGCCTACCAGTCCCCACCGCCAGGCAATCTACCAACGACCAGAACCCAAGGAGTGACACCCTACGAAACCATCGGTGTTGACTTTGCTGGGCCCATAAAGTATCAGGTGACAAAGAAGATGGAGGGTAAAGCCTACCTAGCCTTGTACGCCTGCGGTCTTACCAGAGGGGTGTACCTCGATCTACTTCCGAGCTTAGAAACAAGCAAGTTCCTCGCAAGTCTGAAAGGGTTTATAGCCGGCGTGGACGCCCTCGCGTAATCTACTCAGATAACGGAAGCACGTTTAAAGCAGCAGCGGATTGGCTGAGGAAAGCCATGAAAGATGAGAAGTTTCACACCTGCCTTTCAAAGCTGGACATAGCCTGGAGATTCAACCTTAGCCGAGCTCCCTGGTGGGGTGGCCAGTTTGAGAGGCTGATAGGCGTGTTCAAGTCTGCCTTCCGAAAAGCAGTAGGGAACGGAACCTTATCCTGGGGCGAATTATCGGACGTTGTGCTTGACGTTGAAATTGCCATGAACGGACGTCCCCTGAGTTATTTGGAAGAGGACGTCGAATTGCCAGTACTCACTCCAAGCTCCATGCTGCACCTTCGGCCGAGCCAACTCCCAGAGCTAAATGCCTACCACATCGAGGAACCAGATCTAAGGAAAAGAGCCAAGTATCTCTATCGGTGCAAAGAAGCGATGTGGTCCAGGTGGACAAAAGAATACGTGAGAAGCCTACGTGAGCGGCACAGCAGGAGCGGAGGGAAACAGACCTCCCACCCTTCAGTGGGGGAAGTGGTGATAATTCAGGACGAGTCTCGGAACCGTAACTCATGGAAGCTAGGGATCGTGGAAAGGCTGATCGTGGGACGTGACGGAATCGTACGTGGAGCTAAGTTACGAGCTGGGAAAGGAGTCTTGGAACGAGCAGTGCAGCAGCTGTACCCTCTCGAGCTGTCCTGCGACAGAACAGATGCAAGGTTGAATCCTGAGGCCGAACCCTATCGGCCAAGGCGGGATGCGGCAGTCGCAGCAAGACACCGTATTGCGGATGCTGCTCAGGAAGCAGAGCCGTGAGAACTGTGAAACCAGAACTTCCTCAGGACGAGCAATCAAAGGAAAAAAAAAAACTTTCAGAACATTAAGGATGTGTCCATTAACCTTTTTTGTTATGATTTCAAGTGATTAAGCCTAGTAACACTCAAAGAACGCTGAACTGTGATTCAACGTGAACACTGTGGACAACGGAATCATTGAACTATGTGATTTGTTCTTTAAGACTTTTCTTCGTTTTCAAATTGTTTAGCGTACTTAGGTTGAAGTAGTTTCCTTTGCTTACATGTACTTCCTTGTCGAAAGCACATGGGGGAGTGTGTCGGAAACTCGATAATAGCATAGGGTTTTTAATGTTTATTTTGTCACGAGCTGCCAATCTTTGAGGGCGTTTATTTTTATCTGAAAGGCAAAGATCACGTTATTCCACGTGTTATTGTGAAATAGAGTACGTTTGTTATCTTTCTGTCAGCAATATCGTTTTAGCCAATCAGCTCATGTTTATTCAAGGTGTGCTATAGATTAGGGATCGCTCGATTGATGCCAGTGAGAGGTGAATCATTTTTGTAGGAGAAAAGAAAAAAAAACTGTGATTAAAAAACCTGAAAGTGAAGACTGAGGACGTTGTGGGCCTTCTTAACCTATTCCCCACAAGCCGTGGGATTTTAGCCAGTCAGGAACAGAAAAATATTTTAACCGAATTATAAATGCTGATCAATTACAGCTACGGACACTAATTTTGATCAGCCTACCTAATTTACAGTATTTATGTGCCTGTAACAAGCCTAAATACATAGTTTTGATCGGGGGCACTTGAAAATTACTGATGCATCGATGCATATTGATAAACACCCACCCTAACCTGCACCAGACCACCCCCCCTTAATTCCCACCCTCGCATAGCTGTCACAACTTTCCAATAGCATTTCCAATATACCTCTGAAGAGCATAATTTTTTTGCATTACATCTTCTCCATCACTGCTGGCAAGGAACAGATACCCACGCCTTCGAAGTTGGATGTCAGGGGGATCACAGCCATCCACTGCTAAAATTTGCCCAACATCAGATATAAACTGGAAGCTAAATTGACACATCTGAATATTTTCAGCCATGGAAAACTGACTCCTTATTCCTGCCAAAGACAACACGGTTGATGCCCTTGTATACTGTGTAACAAATTAATGTGGTAGCTGCCATTAGTAACAGTAAGAAATAATCCATTCATTGAGGAGTATGACACTTTCAATGGATGTATATATTATTTTTTTCTGTGTTGACTAATGCCATCAAAGGTTTCAACCCAAGACAATCCAAACTTAAATTTATTCCCCCCTGCCAAAAAATTTTTGCTAAAATAATGGTGGTTTTGGCATTTGTCAAAGCACTTTATTAGGTACACGCCCTTCCTGTCTTTTGCCAGTGTCAGGTTTCTTCTGGGGCATAAGATCGCACGACTGTCATTTCAAAGGTCATTTGCGGTCTTGCTCGGATTGTTTTACCCACCCTGCCCTCCCAAGGGTATTTTTTTTCCTTCTCCCTCATTTGTTTCAATAAAGTTTTGTTTTTTGCCCCAAGCTTTTGCAGCAGTTAGTCTTTGTGTGGTCACTAATTTCTTACAGTGACACACACACAAACACACACATATCAAAAAAATATTTCATCAAACAACCCTGTCACTTTGAATCAAGAATACGCTACCCATCCCCACCCGCTAAAATTTTGTTGTGTGGTCTTCTTTCAGCACATCTCAGTGCTTGATTTGTGGATCCTCTTGGCCTGGCCAGGGACCGGCCAGAGAGGAATGCATGCCTGTTTAGGGGATTTCACTGGGACCTGCCCCCCCCCCGGGAATTTGCACAACAACGTTTTGAAATCCCCTTACCCAAGAAAAACATTTCTCCACATAAAGCTTCCATCACCCCTCCCCTAGAGCAAGAGTTGGTTTTTAGATGA